ATTTTACTGGATTAGGTTAGTATTCTCGCGGCCATCCTTTCCTCTTTTCAGGGCTTACTATCGGCTGGTAAACTAGACGGGGTTTGAAGGTGAATCGTCTGAAAATCGAAAGCGTGGGAGCATTACCGCCATTAAACCAGTGATAAGCGACCAAATTTGCCTAATTACTCAACTTTCAGTTGACACATGCCGGGTTCGAATCCCACACCAACTACTTCAATGCAGTCAAATGAGTAGTAGTATTAATTCACATACTACATACGTCACTTATAGTCAGCCTGGTGCAAGGAAGGTCTGTTATGGATAACTGAGTTCCAAGAATCCAATTTATACATCCACACATCTGTACATTGACTAGAGACTGATGCATTCTTATATGATCTCATGATGCTTGCTGAGAAATCAAAGATTTACAGTATAGTGTGAAATTTGTGTTTCTTTGATTACTTAACACTTATGGACATGAAGCGACAAACTAAAGAAGATATTAAGTAAACTTTCCTGAGTTATTTCATATACTACTATAGCTTCATACAGTAGTATGAAGAGACAAGGTTAATTTTATGCATAACATATAACCAGATAAACTAACTTATGCACTCGGTGATTCATTGATCCTACAAGTGACATCATTAAACTTATTTGAAATCGGCACTAGATTAGCGTCGCCTAATCTTGGTGGGACCAGTTTTGCATTTGGATAGGTAGCATCTGATTTGCGATATAAGAATATTTCGCATAGATTCATGAAACGATAAGAAAATCCTTTCGATGAACAAAAAATTCTGGCAACAGCTACCTAACTTCATCACGCGTCATCTCGCTTTCGACATCAGAACTGATGAAGAAACACAATTATGAGTTTGGGTAAAGTACAATTTTAATTTTATCTTGTATGCAATTGGAAGGTTTATGTATTCTATTACATTTTCAAGAGTTTGGTTTGTAGCGATTTGATTTGTTCGAAGTTCTGATCACGGAATGACATCAGTTAGACAACTACTAAAAAACAGGGACTACTAGACAGTCAACTGTTTCGTCCTACTTCCGGACTCATCAGCAAAACTTAGCCACCGCTGGGACTCGAAATCAGGACTTCCCTGTTACAAGGCAAGCTGGTAGACCATATAGCCGCTGGGACTTAACTTGGTGGCCACCCTATAAATTGTAATTTCTACCAATTGATGATTTTAGTGTGACTGGTATAAGCCACTGTCATAACTGGCGAGTATTTGTCCTCACTGACGACCTTGTGGATCCCACTGGACACACCTTCCCATTGAACTTCAGTCATCTTCGTCTTGTAGTCAGTTACCAGCGAGCATCAGTGGTCACTCTAAGACTACGAACTGGTGGAAGCTGGAATTCATAGGCTGGCCATTCAGTTTCGTAGTCTCAGCAGCTAAATGCTCCGCGGGCATGACTTGTAGCCGGAAGGTCCTGGGTTCGAACCCCAGCAGTGAGTCCATGATTCCCATGAGCCCGGAAGTAGGACAAAACAGCTGGCTGTCGAGTACTCACTGGTTTTCAATGATTTTCTGACTGATAACAATCTTTGACCAAACTCGAAACTAATCTGCTATACTTCGCTTAATTTCGATTCTCATTTTTTTTGGCATCAACTTTCAAGTCGTTCTAGATAGGCCCCATAGGCTTAAACATTTGAGTTTCGGTTAGTGGCTACTGGGCCTGAATCTCAGTCCACCTACTTCGGCTTAGGTAACGGGATAATTACATTAAGCTACATGACAAAGTCTAACTCCCTACCTACTGTTTCCGCTTAATTTTTAAATGATACAATCATCCACCATGCTCTTCATAACGTTTATAAGTACTGACAGACAGCTTATTAGTCTGACGATAATGAGAGTAGAGTTCCTAGTGGTTTGGTAATTGCAGCATTTTTGACATATTTTGTTGAGAATCCTTTGAAGACTGCAGCTTGGAAAATTTGCATTCAGAGGCTAAAGGAGTGGTATTCTTATTGATTTTACTTCGAATTATACTACATTGTTTTCTGAGAAGCCCACGCTTCCACTGGAAACTACTTCAAGTTACCAGGGGATTTATACGACCGCAATATCAGTAGGGGATACTTCTCTGGAGTTGGTCTACAGAGTGGAGACAATACTATATGTAAATTTCTTATTCTCTTGGTGATATTCACTGTTGATGCTCACCTGTTTTCAGGTAAATGTATTTATGAGATCACGAAATAGTTGCAATCATACGCATTTAAACTTATATTACGAAAATAGAAAGTAGGTTCATTCTAAAATTTGCTGTTCATTAACGGCAACCAGTAGATGCCTCATACGTTAGTTTCAGCGAGTGAATCATTCAATATATTCAGATGAATCAGCTTTTGAAACAGCATTTAGCGAATATTTATCGAATCAATAGCCAGATTAGCATGAAGGAACTTCAAGTCGATAGAAAGAATAAACAGGGCTCATTTTAAACTGCCGATATCTTCAAGATTTTAATTCAAGTAGTTATGTCTTCTGTTTCATCGAAGATGTCGAGAAACAACAAAACTCAACAGTTGGGGTCCTTAATTTCATGCGGAGTAAAGCAGCAACACAGTGAATTTAGAAGGTTTAATTAGCTTCTGTTGGAAAACTTTCATCTGACATGTCATTCATTCTAACAGCTATGTATCAATAGCCAGCGTGATTCACAATGAGCGAATATATGTATTACACTGACCGATCTTCCTTTCATTAACCTTCCAACCACAGAGTCAACGCACGCACACTGATTGAAAGGAGTAAGTAAAATACATCAAAAGAAAGAAATTAAAGACATAGATGTTCGCCATATATATATATATATATATATTTATATATATGCCACTTAGTTATCTTCGAAAACGATGTGGCTTTCAGAGCGATTTTTTCAATGAGTGAGTGAACTGCAATTACGATAAAGCTTTGCCCAATTCGTGCTGAAATGTTGATATGGTCATCAAGGTCAGCCTGGAAATAAACCACAGATGGTCATCTTCACTCACGCATACACCACTGGTGATATATATATATATATATATATATATATATATATATATATATATATATATATATATAACGATGCTGTCACCGTCTTGGATTTCATATTTCAACTAAACAGTTTCAAGAATATAATACATCCATAGTCTCTTCAAGTATTGCTGTTTGTAGGGATCTTGGTTGATTGGTTGGAGGATTTCATCATGAGCTGATATCAGTTAGAGAATCATTGGAAAACCAGAATTGGAGTACTGGACGGCTGTTTCGTCAGTCTAGTTTGGGACTCTACGTCAGTACACAACCACACCGCCAATGTTGGAACCCAGGACCTGCTGGTTACAAGGTTAGCGAGCTGGTAAACCATTAAGCCACTGGGACCCGATCCAATGGCTAGCCCATGAATTCTAACTTCTGCTAATTCATGACATCGCGCGACCACTTCGCAATGTCTCCGTCGATGAAATCCTTCAACCAATCAAACTAAACCCCTACAAAAACCAATACTTGAGAATTCATCCGATGCTCACTAGCGGCAGACCCTATTCAGGCAGTTACCTGGGGTTCCATTGGGAAGCCGTGACCAGTAGGGTGCGGCAGGTTGACGGTGAGGCAGTAACTCATCGACGGAGACATTGACAAGTGGTCGCGCGATGTCATCAATTAGCAGAAATTAGAATTCATATTCTAGCCATTGGATCGGGTCCCAGTGGATTCATGGTTTACCAGCTAGCTAGCCTTGTAGCTGAAATGTCCTGGGTTTCAACCGTGTTGCGTACTGCTGAAGAGTCTCACACCAGGCTGATGAAACAGTCGGCTGTCCAGTACTCCCTGGCAGGTTTTCCAATGGTTCTCTAACTAATGTCAACTCATGATGAAATCCACCAACCAATCAAACTACAATACCTACAAAAATCATTGCCTGAAAATTGAAACAACACATTTTCACAGTTCTACGTTAACTCATCATTCGGTTACGAATCCTAATCATAAGTGCATTCTTACCAATGATCACATGATCATTAACTGAACATTAATAAAGTTAAGCATAGGAGTATTAAACAAGTAAACCACATGTAAATCTCTATGTCTCTCGCTCGGTCTACAGGACAAGTGAAATCAGCGGGTGAGGGAAATCCTACAGACTTCTCTAAATTTTATAAGAATTAAAAATTACAACAGAATCACTCAGAATGTTGACATCATGGAATCAGGCGTCTGCTACTATCACCACATATTACATTCAACTGTATTACTATCCGTAGTGGTTATACAAAATCTTGGTACACATTATGGGCATCAAGAGAAGCGCCACACAGGCACACAAACATACAAAGTCTCATAGCTAGTACAATAGCTGGGATAGTATGTGAACGCCCAGACCGAAGCAGATGGTGGTGGAGGTGGTCTTTGGGGGGGGGTACACCTCAAGCCTCTGATGTTTTTTGATTATAGCTCAACTCCACACTGTATGTTTGGTACAAGTATGGAATTTTCAGTATGTGACACCGGTTGCCCAAACTTCGCAAGCCGACCATTGATATCAGGTATGCGTCGACAGGGGATCGAACCCCGGACCATGTGCTTGGTTGGTGAGAGTCCTAACCACTGTGCCAGCGACGCGTTTGATCGACAAAGAAGTGGAGAAGAAGCATTAGGCGTTACGTGCTCATAGTTATCAGTTCAGTCATACGCTATTTGATCCTTTGGGATTTTGGAGCCCATGTACAACATAGGTTCGAAATCAGGGGGTTTTCAACCCCGACAGGTGAACCTACATGTCACTAGTTCAGTAATGAATAGTTTCCCTGTGGCGTGGAGGCAGTGGGCATGAAAGCGTCTACTCTAATACTACAACTTTACACTGCCAATTCTCAGGAAAGAAAAAGAAACTTTACGAAACACGATAATCGGTCAAGATAAATAAAGCAGAAGACAATTTTGGAATATAAAAGTAAATGGCTTTACATGAATATATTATTATTATCATTATTATTATTTCATAAAAAGTTTTCGAAAATATTCATTAGTTTTAGTGTTATCAACAGGGGATGGTTTAACTTCGTTTTTATCATCAGAAGATTCTGCTGTTTGATCACTGCCGGCTTGACTTTCACGTGTACGATGTATGGCGCGTGGTAGAAATGCCAATTGTGTCCGAGATTTGCGTCTACACGAAAGAAAACAATAATAAAAAGCATGTACATCGACGCTCATTTTTATTATTATTAATAATAATAATAACAGCTTTATACCAAACATTATTTGTGGTACAGGTATGGAATTTTCAACGTGCATTACAATATACTCCATCTAAATACCTCATAAATTTTATAAGATTTTAAAATCAAAAAGCAATGCCAAAAAAAGATAAATAAAAAAATAAAAAGAACAGCGTTGCGTTTACACTTTAAACAATGCACCACAGGATATGAAGTATAAAATTGGTGTGTCATAGAAGATGAGAACAATAGTGTAATAGTAACGAGGAAAGGAAAACAAAAACTAATGGGACTATTTGTTAAAGTGCCGCAGTAAGTTGATCGTGTCATACCTAACGGATTTCTCATCACATAACAGCTGTTCCAGATATGGTATTGTGGAGTTTTGTACTTGGTAGTCCTAGAATATAGCCTCCTCCTATAGCTGCTTCTAGTTCTACCAGATAAAATGTAAGGAGAGAGCTGCGTATAGAGAGGATTCTCAGGGTCTGACAATATTGTATTCGCTAGTTTCTTACATGATATTATATGTTTATCCACAATAGTGTTAACCAGTTGGTTTAACGATATCCCACTTGCCCTACTAACCGCTTTTAGTGCCTGCCCTTCTGAGCAAAGCAAAGTCTTTCTTAAGTAGTCCAGGAAAGATTAATGGGGAGCAGTAAAGGGGGATGGGTAGAATGCAAGAATTTACAAACTGAGAAAGCAAAGACTGCTTTAGAATTGAACGTGAGAAAAAAGATAACACTATATGCATTTATGCAATAGAAATCTGAGTAGTGACAGGATTTAGACCACTGGCCTCCAAATCACTCGTTTAGAGTCGTACCAGCTGAGTTACTTGACTCAACTTCTAACTCAGGTCATGATTTTACTGCCAGCAATATGGATAATTTCCAGATGTCATGTGTGCGAATGATCCGTAACTGTGAGTTTACACAGTCATCTCACACTGGCTTACCACCTAGTTCGGTCTTCTCCTCCAACTGTGTTGTATACCAATCCACATGTATCTTTTCGGCAGCGCAGTTACATTGCAAGAACAAGGAGTATCCGGCTAAAACGGGCCAAACAGTTGAATCTCTTCAATCACCAAACTCTTAACAGACAGACAGACAGGGCATCGAGTAGACGTTCTGAGATCATTCAAATACAATTAACAGACAAAATAATGACTCAAGTCATCTTCGCTTTTGGTGAGGCTATTGTATTAAAAACGGCTAGAACCTGAGCTGTATGTCCAAAAAGAACGTGTCGTTGGACTTGAATTACCCTGGTGACTCATCCCCCTTAGTAACTCTTTGTTTTCCAATTTTATTAACTTATCTTTTCACTTCTCCTTTTTCCGGTGGATTTCCATAAGAAGCAATTTTCTTAACCTTCTGACTTCCACTCACTGTGTATCACTTTTTAATTCGACCTCTTGTACACCGAGTTTTGATCTTCTCTTATTTAACTGCGTAATTGTTACTAATTTGTGTTTATATATACACTTCAGATACCTTATCATCGTGATGCTTTATTTCACTAAAATGCTGTTATACAATATGCATGTTAACAGACAAAAGTATGTTAAAATTGTACACTGATATCAGTCCATGATCGAATTTATAATATACTACATCGCATATAGCATATAAGAGAAGCATTGTGAGTAGAAGCGTATGGAAGAATAATTAAAGGGCATTGCCCTACATAAACGAAATGCTGTCATGTGGCTACGCGTCATAGTCTCCACCAACCAGGTGAGTCTTATTCACTGTCTACACGCCACAACTGGGATATTCCTCACAAAAGCAAAACGGAGAATGACATCACTAAGCACTTACACCTAAATTGGTGATGTACAGGTTGGTTTGTCTAAGAAAGCTGCGAAATCCCGATTCCAAACTTATGGTTTACATGACCTCCATAATTTGGACGAATTGAATGGAGATTGAAGCTGTTTTTAGTCACTAGCAGCCGCCATGAGGATGCAGATTCACCTCCTCCCTGTGGATCGGAACTTCAAGTCAAAGGCTCGGGGGAGCTGGTTCCTTAAGAAAATCGTCTGATTCAATTTAGGGGTCCGGGAAGTATCACGCAAGTCTCGCACAAACTAAAACATTTGGTGTGGTGCATCTCTGGATGCCCACAATGTACCAAATTTGCGTATTATTATTAATAATAATGATAATATTTTTTTGATAGCGTTATTAGAAGACGGAGATTATCTGAAAAATGTGATATATTGGCCCTATACATTTCGAACAATCTCACCAAACATTTACTTGTCAAGTCAATTTCTTCTAATGTCTTCTAATAACGCTATCAAAATTTATAAAAGGGACTAATTGTTTTAAATAATGATAATAGTAATGATAATAATAATGAATACACGGAGAATAATGAGAATTTAGTGAATCATTTAGAACCACTATGAACCATATCACAAAATAGTCTCCAGCAACCTGAAAGCAATCTGGAAAGCTTCGTCACTCAGCCGGCATCAACAACGAAATTCGGTCGGATTTTCAATACAAACATCAAGTCAGTTCTTCTATACGGATCAGAAACTTGGAGGGTCACAAATAATACTTCCAACAGCCTATTGCAAACCATTATCAACAACTGTCTTCGCTCTATACAGAAGATCAGATGACCAGGCCGGAAAGAATCACCAACAAGAAACTATGGGAACACGCAAGACAAGAACCAATCGCCGCCCAACAAATATGCAGGAGAAAGTGGAGATGGATTGGACACACGCGGCTGAGGAGGCCGCTGAGTGACATCGCGCGCGCATCAGACCATTGCTCGAGTGGAACCAGGCCGAAAGGGAAGCGACGGTGAGTGGGATGTCCAAGGGTGACATGGAGGAGATGGTGTGAAGAGGAGTTGAAACAGTATGGGCTAACATGGATGCAGGTATAGCAAGTACAGCAGAAGACAGAAGTGGCAAGTGGAGATGTGCAGTTGAAGCCCTATGTTCCACTAGGAACCCAAAGGAACAGTAATAGTAATAATTGGTTGTTAGTGTCTCGGAGACCTCAACTACACTTCTCTACTGGATTTACAAACTAACAGGTGTTTTTTCCACATAATTTACTCACATTAAAAAACCAAAACATCATAACAAACATCTTTTTTTTTTTAAAAAAGGTTGAAACCTACGCAGAAGATCCCCCAGTAAAATCTGAACCAATAGATTGCGGTGTTTTAAATGTTTCATCGCCTTTTGTTGCAGGCGGCGGCGGTTTAAAGCTTTGAGATGTATCCTGGCGGACAGGTGGTTCACTAATAGCTACTGATAACATTTTACTACCAAACTGTATACCATCTGTAGCAATTAACGCTCGACTGGCATCATTAGCATTTGTAAATTCAATATATGCATGACCTTTAGGCACACCATTTCGATAGGTCGCTAGACGAATACTTACAACTTCTCCATACTGAAAGAGAAATAAAGGACACAAAATAAGTAGAAATTAGTTGTTGAGTAGATGACCGATTGACAAAAAATACACAAATAAAAGAAGCCTAAATTCACAAACTGAATAATATAAGAACATGACATATAGGCGAACAATATTGTTGTTTTCAATCAGATCTTCTTCAGGCTTTACTCTAATTTACATAGATTTATATATAAAAAAATTTTAACCAATGAAGGTGATTTTTTGGATCAAATAATAATGATAATAATAATGTTTTAAATGTTAGAATACATCCAAAATACGCTGGTCCAAATGGGTTATCCTAGTAGATTTGTAAGGAGACACATGAACACTAAGTACAATTAAAAGAGAAACTGACAACAGTTGAAAAGAAACAACTGTTCATGAAATTGCAATTTAATGGGGACGTGGCTAGCGAAGTCTTACACCTGAGATTATCGAGAGCGATAAAACGGATCTATACTGCCGCTACCACCCTTTATTTGTCATTTTCCAGCCGGCCGCCAATTATGATTGCTGTGCCACTTCGATGTGTATCTATAAATAAAGTGGCACCTGAGGACAAAGCTGGGTATATAGGGCGAACAACTAGACAGCTTGACAAACGCATTAATGAGCACCTTCCTTCATCGTTCGGAAAAGGTAATATAAAATCTATAAAAAGTTCTATTTTGGCTCATTTGATTGATGATAGCGGTCACCAAGTAGACAAAAATAGTGCCTTCAAAGTTATTTATCGCATTCTATCCAGCTTTTCGAACGGAATTCGAATCCGTCTTTTACACATAACCGAAGCAAGGGAATTAATTCGAGATAGCAATCCTAGTGTCTTTGCATACAAAAGAAGTTTGTTCTACCTTTGTCTCTCACTTGCTTAGCCTAGGTGAATTCGATTCAAAACCCTCCCACCCCTTCTTATTTCCTTTTTCCTTTTTCATCAATCGACATCAATGGTATTGTCATGAAGGTAACTCACCTAGCACTCGACTAAGGCTTAACTTCAATATTGCTCACCTTACTATACCAGTTCACACGGGAAATAGAACACAGTTGAGAACAGATACTCGCTACTGACATTCGGCAGCTGTCTCGCTTTATATATACAGCAAATTAATAGGATTTTGAATCTATGAACCATTGGACCAGGCCCAGTGGCTAAATGGTCTACGAGTTCGCCTTGTAATCGGAAGGTCCTCAGTTCGAACACTAGCCTGTGGGTGGTACTACTGAAGAGCCCCATACCAGGAAGAAACAACTATCCAGTACTTCCTGATTTTTCAGTCGTAACAGTTCATAATCAAAGCTGTAATCATTGAACTTGCCTACATGAAATGTCCACATCCTTTACAAAAGCCATTCTTTGTGAAGACTGGATAACTCTCTCATCGACTGTTAATTATTTAAACTTATCAGTGGAATTAACGTTTGTCAGGGTTGTTTAGAACCTATATTATTCAGTATCTTTCACAACTGTGGTCTCAGACAGTAAGAGAGCCTTCTTGTATCTTCGTGTGCTAGCGGTTGACACTGTGATCGGCGATCAGAGTAGTTATTTTTTGTATTAGCGGTCATAAAACAAAAGATGTTGGTATTACGCAAAAAACCAAGATACACTGAAACTAACTGACTAACCTGTTTAAATAATTTCTCTAAATCTTCAGTTTTAACATTTTTATCTAAATTTCGTACAAACAGCTTTTCTGGTTCTTTTTTACCAACTGTATACTTGAATCCAGATACTTTCAGTTTACTTGGATCACAAATGGATACAAACATTGGTCGTTTAAAGGGTGTCGGTGATTTTGAAGACTCTGTCGTTGTTGTTGTTCCTTGGTCTTTTTCATTTTGTAAACTGCTGTCAAGATTTGATGAGGCATTTTCAAAGCATTCATCACTTGCAACTGGTTGTCTATCTAATGCCAGGGCAGCGGTTACCGAGTCTTTATGTTTGAATTCAATATAAGCAAATCCTTTAGATCGACCAGCATAATCACGAACAAGGCGAACAGAGGTTAATTCACCACACTAATTACCAAAACAAAAATAAAGTAAAATAATACATATAGATGGATTTAGAAACTTTGATTGGCGAGAAATAATTTTGGAAATTAATTATACTCCTAATTTTTCTTTTGCCTAGTCTTGAAATCAATATTATCGTGCAGTTTACCGGAGCATTTTGTACATCTACTTCTTGTGAAGGCGCCCAACTTTAAAGAGGATGAACAATTCAAGTTGTTGGCTGTTGAGACAGAAGATTTTGTCAAAATATGATTGGAAAACCATTGACCTAATCTTGGACCCTGTATAACCAAATCCTTTTTAATCCTTTGCGTTCTGAGTGGAACATAGGTCTTCAAGCTTCAGTTTTCAAGTTTCGGTAGTAGTGGGGTATTCTACGGCTAACCTTCTTTCTTTACAGGAATTACAATTGGTTAAGCGACGTTTGTGAATGCATCGGTTGAAGATAGAATTACGGACAACTCGAGTGGGTCAGTAAGCATTCTACCAATGCTGAACCAACCCAAAGTCCGACCTTTATCGCTGAAACTAACTTAATTTTAAAAGTATTGATAGTGTATGCAATTGTGTCTTCTGATTTTTCCACGAGCTCAAATAAAGTAGACGGTATTTAATAGGGGAACTATCATATTCCGTAATTCAGTCTAGTTGCTTATTTCACTCCACTATCGTTCCAACCATAAGAGACAGATCCAACAGTTGCCGATAAATCTGAATCTTAGTACTCATGGTATACTCAGTTATAAGAGATTTTACAATGCTTCGCGATGATCACACAGGAGGTTCAGGGGTTTGATTCTCGCCCGACGGACACACTTTGAAACATCTTCTTGTTTACAAACCGACAGGAAAAGGGGAAAAGAAGAAAGGTTAGGTGTGCAGCTAGCAACCCTACCACCACCCTGTAGAAAGAACAAGAACATGTACTCAAACTATATAATTCGGAACGCAAAGAAACAAAGGAAAAACACTCTTGTAAAACAAAATTGATTTAATTAGTACTGTACTGTGTTACAAAGAAAAAGGTAATATCCATTGAATTTAAATAAGGCATTCAGAAGACAAAAATTATTATGAGATAATGTCCTTTTACAGCTATCTCATAGTTGTGTTGCCTACCACGATGACTGCTAACAATAAAAGGTTTAACAATTAATCAGTTTCAAGTTTGGTCACGGATTTCTAATAGCTGGAGAACCATTGAAAACCAGTACTGGAGTGCTAGATATCCAGCTGTTTCGTCCGATTTCGGGACTCAACGTCAGAACGAGCTCACCACCAAGGTTCGAACCCAGGATCCTCCGTTTACAACTCAACGTCTTAGGCTATTACCCAGCCACTGGGATCCAACTTAATAGTCACCCTATGAATTCTAATTTCTACCAATTCGCGATTTCAGTGCCACCACCCACTGGTCACAACTTGTTACTAGAAATACAAGCAACTAAGTCCTCCGGTAAGTGAACACTGACGATGAGAGGGCTGTCAAGTACTTCATGCTGGGTTTTAATGAATCTCTCACTGATATCCATTCATGATCAAACTTGAATTAATCAGTTATATAAAATAAAAGTATGTATACACAATAACCAACGCTATTTTTGTAGGTCAAAGTAGTACATGGCATGTGAAGGTTGAAGTCAGGTATTCTTCGTAGCCATAATAATTTAGGATGCATGTGATTAATTTAATTTAATAATAATAACCTTGAATATTAAGGTCATGCAAAATAATTGACACACACACACACACTGATTGGTATTCATTTTGCAACTAGATTCATTTCATTCCATTTTTTAATGTTCCGAATGGAATATAGAGCTTGAAATTTCGATAGCAGCAGTGTCTTTACGGGATATGATTGCTAACTGCCTCACAAGCTAAAAATTTCCCCCCTCCACCCTTCTATCAGGCTTATTAACGGCTAGGTGAGGTTTAGAAGTACGTAAACCGGCAATCGAACCTGGAACATGTGTGTAGATGGCAGTTATCCTACTCTTGACCCAGATATTATTAACTGTTTTGTAACTGACGACACTGGACTTCCATTCAGGCTAAATGCATTGGGATTTAATAATTATTCAGACCATGTTTTTTCAGACGACAATGGAATATTTTATTGGTTCTACCCATTTATATGTGTTCCTAAAAACACAGATGAACCTGTGTAAACACAGTGTCAAGTAGAGTTCATTGGAATTTCCCCCTTAATCGTGAACCGAGGAAGAAGAGAATGTTCGAAAGGTTGGTTAGCGCAAAATGGATAGAGAGTACAACATATACTCGATAGCTAATCGAACCGTATGAGCCATCCATTATATGACTGAATTATTCTTGATAGAGATAACTTTTGTTGTGTTACAGAGACTGTTTTATATAGAGGAGTAGCTTTTGTAGCTCTTCTTGACCTATTAAAATATGATTACTTATCAAGCATTTTATTCCGAGTAAACTTCCATCAAAATATGTGATTCAGCAAAGAGATACCTTTCAACGAATTTACTATCAGGCAGTACAATCATATATATATGAAGGATTTCATCATGAGCTGACATCAGTTAGAGAACAACTGGAAAACCTGGGAGTACTGAACAGCTGATTCGTCCTAGTTTGGGACTCTTCAGAAGTACGCACCCACCCTCCATCCAATCAAACAAAATCCCCACAAAACCAATACTTGAAAATATATATATATAATATTACTTTTTTAATATTCTCACCCTGTCGTTGTGTGATCACATGCAAGTGAATGCAGTGTAATGGTTGAGCTTTGTCCTAGGTTATTTAACTTAGTAGGGTCAATCATTACTCTAGGTATAGTTAAAATGTTATGTTCCAATAATCTAGTTTACCGACCCTGTCCTACTAGTATGACCTATGTAATTAACCTCACAATCATTAATTGCATGGTATTTGGTAAATTTTTCCTAAATGGATCTATTGGGTCCTTAAGCCGACAAAGTTTATTCTCTGAGAGAGTTGGTTTAAATGTCACCCCAATTCCAGCGTCATTAAGAATCCTAAGTAAAGCCTTTGACGTTCCTTCTTTATACGGCAGTACTACAGTAACATCATCCAATGGTTAATACTGAATCATCACTGTGAGATAATTAAATAAACTTATCTAATATGGAATTACATTCTACCACCACAGTGGCAAAGTTCTACACTTACATTAAATACACAGAGGTTGAAAAGTGAAATAATGTTGTTTAGCATTAGTTTGCTTATTAGATATATCACACACAGTGTGAAACAGTATTATATACTGGATGACGTTTCGAACACAATCTAGTATTGTTCATAATCATATCAGTTGTAATCGCGCGAAACTTGAGTTTTATAGTTTTCTTTGTTCTCTCCTATTTGTCGTCGTAGGGGTAGTAGAATTTTCCAGATATCTGGATGAACAGGTGCTGAATCATTCCTATTACATGTATTTGCAGTTGATTCGATAAACAACGCTTCTGTTAGAAGTCTTCCCCACTCGCTACCCTGTGACATCCGATTTTAAAACTGTCATCCTATCCCATCCTATTGTATGGTTATGTGCAATTTCATGTAGTGAGTGCCATAGCTGAATTATTCTCTAGATTTCTTATCTTATTCGACTCAACTAATCTAGATTTTGCTAAATTTTTATGTTCGGCTAGTCTGACTGCCCCTGTTCTACTAGTTTGACCTATGTATTTGACCTGACAATCATTCCAGCAGGGTATTAGATAAAGGCTCCACAGGATCCACCATTTAACCAACAAAGCTTGTTTCTAATTGAGTTTGTGGGTCTGAACGCCAAACATTTTTATTCCTGCTTTGTTAGGATTTCTCCGTAAGGTGGTTTCCGAGGTTCCTTCCTTGTATGGAATTAATACTGATGATTTAGATTCCTTATTGTTGATGTCGTTTTGCGCATGTTTGACATGCACGTTGTCATTAATACTACTATTATTATTACTATTGTCATCACTATCACTACTAGCATCATTTATTTTATTTTTATATTTCCCTATATACTTTCTGACTAATTTATGAGAGTAATTATTAAGTTTCGAAGCTTCTCTTATACACCTCACTTCCCGTCTTAGATTTTCCTTGGTACTACTTAGTTTTTGTGCTCTATTATTTAAACATTTCACCAATCCTATTTTTACTGACATAGGCTGGGATGACCGGAAGTCCAAATATCTGTTTGAATGTATAGGTTTCCTGTAAACACCAGTGTGTTCATCTTCCCATCTTCTTTCCTTTTTATGCTGTCCCGATAGCCATATTTACATACATCTAATAAACAAACTAATACGGAATTTACTTACTACCACAGTCCCCAAGTTTTACACATATATGAAATAATGTCGGAATGTTGCTCATAATAATAAGGGATGGGAATAAACAAAAAGAAATTATATAAATAAATAGAGTCAAGTTAGATATGGGGAACAACATAGTTTCAGATGGAGTGAGATTAGGATCACGAGAAAAAGAAGCTCCGGCTTTCCTCTTTCACTTGGTCAGAGTTTCAAAAATACAGATGAGTCAGACACATAATGATTCTGGTAGGTTATTTTTCGCCTTAAGAAGAGACGTTAGACGGTCAGATTGTGGAGATAAGACGACTAGTATCGATTAGATGTTAAATTATTGAGCTTCTCATAGCCACACACACACACACGCTTTCATCTCTTCTAAGAAAAACCCCTTTGTCACAATCGACATTATTATTTTATAATAGTCATAGGCATATATAATTGTGCAACTTCCATAATAAACTCCTTAACAACAGTCGTTTCGTCGAATCACATTAAGGCTGATACAGCTTCGTCAATAGGTAAAATCATCAACCTTCTCAAGCATTTCACTCTTTAGGCTTAAATAATGAGTCGATATGGACCAACCACTGCAATATTATTCGACAGTTGAATTTACCATGACATTCTTACACTAATCATAACTACAAGACTGATGCCTGTTAAAAAAAAAATCAATAAAAGCACTTACCTTTTCAAATGTCTTTCGCAATTGATCTTCAGTCGTTGAATAATCAAGATTACTAACAAATGCAGTCAAGTCATTTTTCGCTGGATCGTGTGGAACAAATTCACCATGTGGCAAATGTTGTGAATCAGTTTTTGACATCTTTTATTGAAAAGAATGAGGAAAGAAAAGGCATATAAAATTGATAACCAAAAACAAAAAGAAATACTTTTGGTTTTTAATGATAATCGGAATATGGATCCATAGGAAATCAGGGGTGAGAGGGATAGGGGAAACTGGACAGCTCAGTTACATCATCCTAGTTCGGCAGTCCTCATAAGAGACGCAGCCCAAAACCTTTAGACGTTACAGGGTGAGTTCATCCAGCTGCACAGTTATACCTAGCATTAGACCTTTACTTTGGAAAAATCACTTTAATCAATAGAAGCAGCGCTGAATGATATTGTAAACATGATGACTAGACAGTTATTGAAATTCAGCTTTTGAAAGGTACACTTTCAATTCAAAGGACATCAGTATTTTGATTTGTTTGTGTTCTCCAAGTTTTTTGACTTACTTCCCAAGTTCTCATTGTTGTTCTAGACAAGATCTTCCGCTCAACATTTATAATATAATGTGAACTTATTTGGATCCTCCACTTGAATGATAAAATAATTGTATCTCCTGACAACTATATTGACGTGATTGGCAGTCAATTGATATTGAACATTATTTTTATTGACCTGGAATGTGAACTTTCTTGTCATGTGATTTATTCTTTATTATATTGTAAATTCGGTCTATCGTCATGTGTTTGTTAATTGTTAATTCACTCGAGCACCATATGTCACTAGTGATTCATAACGTAAAACTCACCAAAACTCCTAAATTGAAGACTGACTACTACCATCAGTGATATCGCTGACTGTGGTAGACGAAGTCGTGAAGTTACATCGACTGAGATGGTTAGGACATGTGTTACGTATGCCAAGTCATCGCCTCCCTCGACGAGCTATGTTAGCGGGTATAGGGTCAGGCTGGAAAAAAGCTAGCGGCGGTCAAACAAAAACTTGGCATCAGTCAATGAAATCCACAACAGTTGGTCTTAGCCACGTAGAAAGGTGTAGACTTCCAGGCTGGGGTCCTCGGGACGGTAAAAATCTATGGTTGGAAACAATTGGTGACATGGCTCAAAATCGTTCTCAGTGGCGCAGATGCATCCACTCCCTGTGACTTATGATCTTCAATGAAACTGTTTTGTATTTCTTTATTACTCCTTTGTCTCACACCTCTGCTCACTGTCTCTATTATGCTTTTCTTGTACTTTCTTCTCTTGCTTCGCGTGCTACACGGAATGTGGCGACTTGAACTTCCGCACATTTGTGCAAAGTTCTATGTCGAAAACAGACAGACAGACAGTGGTAGACTGAATCATGCAAACAACCGTGGGGAGCGAGGAGGCACGTGTACGTTAGACCGATAAGAAGATTCTAGAAGATCTGGATTTCGCGGACGAACTTTAGGACTAACAGGCGACAACCAACAAGTTGGCAGAAGAAGCGGCGAAGACAGGAGATCAAGTGACCATAGAGAAGACGGAAGTGATGAAGATATCTAACCACCACCACCAACAACAACCAGTCACCTTAAACCGGTGATATCTAAAGGAGGTTACCTTTTTCAATTATCTAGGAAGCATTGTTTCAACTACAGACAGTGTGGAAGATAAGTATATCAAAACCAACCGTGATCAGAAAGGCAAGCAAGATCTTCCTTACTCTGAAATCAATGTGGGAATCTGCCGCACTCTCAGCATTCAGAACAAGATCCAGGTTTTCAACATCTAAGTCAAGTGCTATACGTCACGGAAAGCATTTCTAACAGACTTCAGACTTTTATCGACAACTGCCTTAGCTTCATAATGAAAATCAGATCCCTAACCGGAAACGACTAGCAACAATGAACTCTATGAGGCAACAAACCAGCCTACAACCTATTGCTCAACAAATACGCGGAAGAAGTTGAAGATGCATCGGACACATGTTGACGAAACTGCCGAATGACATTGCGCACCAGATATAATCTCAAGTGGAAGCCAAATGGGGAAACGACGAGTGGGGTGTCCGAAGGTGACAAGGAGGAGGTCAGAGACCATGGGCAATCGTGGGACCAGCTTAAGAAGAACGCTAAGAACAGGACGAACTGGAGATGTGCTGTTGAAACCTTGTATTCCACTAGGAACTCCGGGGAATAATAATAACAATAATTAAGCTTTAAATCACTTCCTACGGGAAGGGGTAATGACATGGCCATTGAAAGTGGAGGATACGAAAAAGCTAACTTTCTTTGATTATAGCTGTGTTCTATCTCCCGTGTTAATTAGTATTGTAAGATCAATTCTATTCCCATCCTTGAATCAAGTCAACCTGTCCCGGATCAGCCTAGCGTTGTTGCAACCCAATTATCCATGCCTAACGTGTCTATCCCTGCTTGTTTAATGAACTGTGTGTATGTGTTTTTACCTCGATCCGTTTAGTCAGACAGTTGAACTCATGGCCGAATCAGAGTATTTTGTGAACTGTTATTTTTGCTGACCCATGTCTAACTTTGTACTATTCTGTCGAGTTTATCTTATTTATTGATTTTCATCTGTATTTTCCTACCTGGTTAAGTAGCCAATTAAATTCTATCTTTGTGCCTATGCTCGGTCTATCTCTCTTAAACGCTCTCTGTTTTATGCCATGCCTTACTTGGGTTCATTCTTCTACTGACTGCTTACCTGAACGGTCGTGTCTGGTTCCGGCTAGTTCGCAATTTTAGCTTTAACGTTATTCCGCTCTGATAGCGGTACCTTGCTTTCTGCTAAGCGTTGTGCTTTGTACTCTTGAAACCGTTAAGGTTTGTTGTATATATAATTATTGATTTGTTTATTAATAGTACCGTAGAAACAGTGACCAGCTTCTTGTTTGTTCTGGACCGGGATAGCCTTTATCTACGCGTGACTTAATTTCAAGCGATATTGCGCTTACAAGTATAATAAGGTAAGCAATATTGAGGCCAGACTTCAGTCTAATGATGGGTAAGGAAAGGAAATCAATCGACAAGGTTGTGAAGTTACATAGATTGAGAGAGGTGATTAGGACATTCTTTGCGCATCCATAGCCACCACCTTCCTCGACGGGCAATGTAAGCTGAGAGGATGGATCAGGCTGAAAAAAAGAGGAAGCTAGTGGTGATCAAACCAAAACATGGCTTCATCAGTCAGTGAAATTCACAATAGTTAGTTTAAGCAAGCCACGCAGCGATGGCTGGCTCAGATGCATTCACTCTTTGTGCTTTATCCTATCCGATTAAATTCTATTGCTTTTCCATATTACTATTCTGTTTGCTTCACATTTCTGTTTATTATCTCTCTTCTCTTGCTTTATGAGAGAATGACAACTCGAACTGGTGCACATCTGTGCGAAGTTTTACGTTGAAACCAGTCAGTTAGTCAGGGGAGTAACGACAGGCAACAAAATGTGCAACAAAATAAATAAATCAATCAAGAAATAATCACTGTCACAGTGAAGAGTTGAATTGGAAAAAGCACAAAAGCCACAATCAATTAAACTAACTTTCGCAGGTGTTGATTGACCAGAATCATTTTGCTGTTGAGGTAGTTTTCTTTTCTTTGCATGAGACAAATTTTTCTCGGGTGTCGTCTCGACAATCTATAAGAAAGAAAAATAAATTGACAGTTTCTGATTAAGTGATTTCAGATGAATAACATAAAAAGAGGCGAATTAGTAATCTGATAATTGTACACAGTGATAACAATAATAATATCACCCTGTCTATATTTTTGCGGAGTTTTTTTTATTCCCGTTAATCAACATTATAGTATGGAGATGTAGATCGTTCAGTGACTAAAATGTTCGACTTTCAGTCAATACGTCACGGATTAAAATCCCGCTTTGTTTACTTCAGCCTAAGCAATTGAAAATTATTAACCCTCATTGGGTCAATAGATAGCTATTCATTTTCAAGTTTTGATTTTCTGGAATTTCTTAATTTGAAGTTGGTTTATGAATTGAAAGAAGTTAGATTTCAGGGACCATTTGAATTCCGACCCAATAAAATGAATAGTCAACGAGGTTTTCAGTTCAGTCCTTTGTACAGTCATGCGTGTGTATTGCCAAAGAGTCGTTGCAGGCTAGGGATGAATGAACTAACTAGTTCCCCTACGCCCGAGAATTTTTCTTATGGTTGTCTAACTGATATCAGCTTGTGATGTAACTCAAAAATCGATTAGTTTAATTTTTTTTAAGGTTATATGTAGAAAGTAAACCAATAAAATCCCTCACATATATGAAATTGTATTTGATACAGACTTGACACTGAAGACATTCGGTAGGTTGCTAAAACTTTTAGAAATACTTTGGTGCAGACTGAATTCTGTCAGTTAAGTTTGCAATGCGGCTACCATGATAGGCTGCTAACTATCACAGTGCACTCTGAACAGTTGTTATTAGGTGGTTGAAGGTGATTGGCAAGAAGCCCTGTACCGAGGTTTCGTACTAATTGGTACTTTTCAGGGAAGTATACTTGCAATCTTAGAAGGATTGTTGTCCGCTTTCAAAGTTCGAAATTGTGTCACCCAGAGCCTAAAAGGTTTAATAACAATTCACAGAGCACTGGGATGACGCGTTTCTTGGCATGACGACAACATTACAAACTTAAATGATAGAACTCAGTCACCATTACGACCAGATAATATGAGAATGATTACTCCACAACGATCAATCAAAGCGCATAATGCCTATGCATGAGATGTTAAAAATCTAAATATATAGTAGGAAATGCCATGAAATCGCTACAGAATAGTAGTAATAGTAATTATATATATGTATATAGTCCACTACAATTAGGAATATCAACGTGGGTGATAATAAGCACCCTTGTCTGACTTCTGTGTTTACTCCAAATGCCTCGCTGAGTTTTCCGTTGTAGATTACTTGACATATGCCACTGTTGTCGTACAGAGTGTTGAATAAGGTTGATGAATATTTGGGGCACGGTACGCCATAGTCCTCGAGTAATTTCCAAATTACTTCACAGTCAACGCTGTCCATCGAAGGCCTTCTCAAAGTCTATAAAATTGAGGTATAGGTTTGATTGTCATTCCATGCTTTGTTTGATGATGATGATGATGCGTAGAGTTGCAATTTGGTGAGAACATGATTTGCCCTTCTTAAATCCAGCTTGTTCTGGTCGGAACTCTGCATCCAGTGAGTCCTTTATTCTCTCCAGGACGATGCGACTCAGGATTTTACTTGGCGTTGACAGGAGCATGATTCCTCGCCAGTTCTTGCAGAGTTTCTTCATATGCCACTGATAAATCTTATTAGTAGCACAAGCCATAGTGGGATTGGATTTCTATCGATTAGATTAGATAAGTCGAGCTACATACCAAACCGACTTAGTTGACTTTCAGATGACTTACTGCGTGATATTATATTCACCACTTGGCCTACTTCTCGTAAAGTGAGTGGTGAGATACGTTTTTCTTGGAGAAAAAAAGTCATTTACTTATTTATCTATGCATATTAGTGTTTATCTTGCTTATTATATGCCACAATGACTGATTCGTCTAGGCGCTCGGTTTACAACCAGCAGTGGGTCACAGGTTATAAACCCACTCCAAGCAATATAATAAGCCTTCACAAACTATTGGTGCAGCTCATTGCAGACAGTATGGATATGCATGTGGATGTTGGGGATCCAACTTGCTCATGATTGATCTTTCACGTGAACAAAGACACACTAAACACTTTAATTGGATACTAGTTAGTGATCAACCCTACATGAGGTCAATCAAGAGTCGGGACAGCCCAGAAGTAACGTCCCTGACTACAGTACCCGGTGATCTAGATTCGAATCTCAGAAAGGGCATGAGTTCCTTCAAGACTGCAGACACATCTCGCTGACGAATGCCAACAAACACGAAAACTAGGTCGCGAAGGCTTCCTGCCGATTGCTTCTAACCATCTAATAATATAATAGACAATTGTTATAAGAGTAGAATTTGGGCAACGTGGTTAAGTATTATTGCTTAACAGAATAATTTTATTTGAAGATACGGCAAACACAATGATACAAGTACTGATTCTAAATAACAAGCTGTAAACGTCATTTTAGACAGCAATCATGATTTCAGTGACCATCTCCTCATGACAACGACCTCAAATGTGACTGTTCGTATTCATAGATCTTCACATCCTCTTGTCCACTTTTATTTTGGCAGTGCTTCTTATGTCAATCATCTGATAGTTGGCTCTTTGTACATAACATACCTTTTTAAATCAATTGATAAACCTGATGATCGCATGGACAGTTTTAATGGCCCAATACATATTGAATTCAGCATCGAAGATGTTGTCTAGTGACCAAAACTATCTAGCCAAACTGAGGACGCTCACTTGAGTATAAAATACTCTCCTCCGTCAGTCATTTTTATTTATCACTTATTCAATGATGACAATTCGAGCCGATTCCCGGCTTACGGCCGAACTTTAAGTTTCAAAAAGCGCGGTAGGGAAGGGAAGGTTGGTGTCTGAGGTTAGCTACCGCATCCATGGTGAAAGAAACAACACTTGTACTGAAACTTCAGAGCTCAGCCTTAAAGCTTCATCATCTACTGCCAACACAAATCAGTAAATAAAAAGAATAGAAATTACGAATATGCAAATGATTTCTTATTGAATGAACACAACAAAGATTCACCTCCATATTTGACTTTTTCGACTGAACATCCTTGATTGAATCTTTGAGTAGTGCTCGACGTGAATTGATTTTAACAGTCATATCTTTATACTGTTTAACAGGTAATCCAATTTCACCGACAGCACGTAATACAATTTGAAATAACAATTCTGAATGGTCTACATTCACTGAATTGATCGCCATACTGCATACACGAACTAGGTGCTTTGGATCACCCCAATTTCTAAAATTATTATATTTTTCACAAAAAAAAACAGAGGATGACAACGGGGTTCAACATCATGAAAAAAGAATATACTTATGCTTTAGTTTGGCCATCGACCAACGTTTGGCTGTGAAGCGAATGCAGAGAAAATACATTGCATTGACCAAGGGACTCTATTCGAACTCAAGCAGCCACGTTAAAGCTTATGGCTCAGTTGTCATCCGAAGTGGTGACAACTAGTGGTGTCCATCACGGATGCCCACTATCCCCATTTCTATTCAATTTCATCATAGATGTACCAATGGAATTAACCCTAACTTACTGAAGAGACTCAAGAATTAACTTGTTACAAGGGAATAATAGTCTGGTTGACTTAGAATATGCAAATGATATAGTCCTCCCTCCTAAGTGAAGACGCTGACGAAATTCTGAACATCCTGAGCCGCAATCTTCGAATGTTTGGCATGCGATTCGCTCCCGTCAAATGTAAGATGATGCTACAAGACTGGACTACATTCACCTCTAGCTTAGAAATAGGGAGTGAAGTGGTAGAGCACGTTGACTGCTTCACATATTTGGGAGGTTGCATCAGCCCAAACGGGTTGATCACTGACGAAATCTTAGCATGGATACAGAAGGTTCATTTCGTATGTGTCAGTTCACGCCGTCCCTGACGTAGACGTGATATCCGGCTGGCTGTCGACCAAAGGGCGTGTGTACTGCTCTGCAGTTTCCTGTCTTCCTTTATGGCCGTAAGCAAGACATGTCATCGAAAGTGGAAGAAATGAAAAGCTTAGCTAGATGTCTTTGATCAGTTTGTGTCTGTGTCTTATCTCCCGTGCTTAGTGGTATAACAAGGTGAGCAATATCGAGGTTAGGCCACAGTTGAGTGCTAGATAAAGAGGGGAGATCAATCAACGAGGCTGCGAAGTTACACCGGTTGAGATGGTTAGGACATGTGTTACGCATGACCAACCATCGCCTTCCTCGACAGCAGATAATATTAGTTGACATGGGATTTATCAGGTTGAAAAAGAGCCAGTGGTGATCAAACCAAAACATAGCTTCATCAGTCAATGACATCCACAACAGTTAGTTTAAGCCATGAAGGTATGTGCAGACTTCGTGCGTTAGGGTCCTCGGGATTGTAAAAACCAATGAAGGCTGGAGACTGTTGGTGATATGGCTCAAAATCGTTCCCAATAGCGCAGATGCATCCACTCCTTGTGACTTATAATATCCAATAAAACTATATTGTTCTCCGATATTACTATTCTTCTTGCCTCATATCTCTGTTTTGCATCTCTTTTTACTTTATACTCTTACTTTGTGGGCTAGGTGAAGTGTGGCGACTCGAACTGCCGCAAAGTTCTACATTGAAACCAGTCAAACAGTTTGTCAGGGAAGTGACCATTACAGAACAATGAACTGAGGTGGTCCAACTCAGAGGCTTTTATTGCAACCCCTCTGCCAGACCACCCCCTGTGGATAACGTCTTCACTGCTTACTCCAAGGTGAAAAAATTCCTCGTCTTACAAGTACGACGCCTTCAATGTCTTTCATTTTGAAGTTAGCACTGAAAATGTTGTCTAGAAAGATAATGGAGGCTTCGCAATTCAGCCACTTGCCTCAGAGAACACAATCACGTATATCATATGGTAGAAACAACACTTTAGGATTAAAACATACTTGAATAAACACCACGGAAAAAAGTGAACGGAAATTTATTAATATTAAAATGAGCAAATATTCATATGAGATTATAGAAAATATTTGGAATTTCATAGACGATGAATGGTGAATATATTGTCACTGAGGACACTTTCGAACTGTATTATCTAGTAACTGTCTACAATCATTAATGAATTAAGAGCACTCTATGAACAGATGGAAACCCCTCATGTCAACCAGTAGTGGTCCCTAGATAGCCAGACCAAAGTGGTCTAAACATCCGACGGTCGTTTTACTCGTTTGCGACCGAGGTCATCAGTGGTATACGCTATTTGACTCAGCTAAAAGAGTCGAATTGGTTCAAACTACCCATATTATGACCAGTCACCTACTTAGATGAACTAGTAATACACAGAATCAAACTGATAATCCACGAATTACACAGTTAGCGGTGAGAATTCACTACGGTTACACCTGTGAAAGACTAAACATATTCAGATTACAATGGTAAGACCTCGATACCACAAAATGGCAGTCCAGAAAGTAAGGGAAATAGTGTGATGGCGTTTGATGGATACATATATTTGAAAATCATCAATTATTATTCCCTTAGGTTCCACGTGAAACACAGCACTCCAATAGCAAATCTCCACTTCATTTTGTTGTCTTTAGCTGGTTCCACAATAGCCTATAAGCTTTCATTTCCTCCCCTCATGATCTCCCCCTTGTTATGCTTGGACGCTCAAATAGTCGCTTGTCAATCGGGTTCCACACTAAGGCCTGCCTACCTGCCTGGTAATCCTTTTCGGCCAACTCGCAATTAATCCTCCCCTTTGCCTAATCCTAAATTTATTGACAATCCTCGTCGAAGAAGATAATGACACATATTAATAATCACGTTATAGTTAGTGGAAATTTATGACTTCATCAAACCCGTAACCCTCAACTATCTATCAAAAAAGCTATTGATCACAGTAATTAACTTTATAGTTTCAGTTGAATGTTTCATATTGAGCGAAGCTTTCACTATCTTACACGTTGAAGTTACCGCTGTGGATGGTGAGGCTATGTCTGTGAGGCCAGGCCATTGAGAGTGGAAGACATGAAAACACAAGCTGTCTTTGATCATAGGTGCCTGCGCTCTATCTTCCGTGTGAAGTGGTATAATAGGCTGAGCAATATTGAGGTTAGGCGTCGAGTTCTAGGTAAGGAGAGGAAATGAATCGACGAGGCTGTGAAGCTACATCGACTGAGATGGTTAGGACATGTGTTACGTATGTCTAGTCATCGCCTTCCTCGACGAACGGGCAATGTTAGCTGACATAGGGTCAGGCTGGAAAAAAGCTAGCAGCGGTCAAAACAAAACATGTCACCAACCAATGAAATCCACAATAGTTAGTTTAAGCGAGACACGTAGGAAGGTGTAAACTTCCTGGTTAGGGTCCTCGGGACAGTAAAAATCAATGGTTGGAAACAATTGGTGATATGGCTCAAAATAGTTCTTAATGGCCGACTGGCGCAGATGCATCCACTCCTTGTGACTTATAATTTCCAATAGAACTATATTGTTCTCAGTTATTACTCTTCCTTTGTCTCACACCTGTGTTTACTGTCTCTATTTTGCGTTTCTTTTTACTTTCTTCTTCTCTGGCTTTGTGTGATGAGTGAAGTGTGGCGACTCGAGCTGCTGCACATCGGTGCAAAGTTCTATGTCAAAACAGACAAACAGAGAGACCGCTGAGGATGCTGAGGCTAGAAAGATAGTGAAAGCTTTACAACTAAACCAATCAATCAGCTCAGAGAATGCAACACCACACACGTATCGAAGCCATCTACCTGGACTGTAAATCTTCAAAACTATGTATGAAATCATTTTTGTTTTAGAAATACAGAAAAGAAAAAACCATTTGGAAAAAAAAACAAGTTTCTTCACACACTTACTGTTCAAATTGAATATATGCTATCCAAATTCTGCTCTTGTTCCATGACCTGGTAATTTCATTAAGCTTGTCCAAAGAGAACGAGCTCGATCCATGCTCTCAGCATGTTTTGCCTATGACGAGAGATAAAAAAGAAAGGCTGTAACATAGGAGTAACCTTTTACTTATTAACTATTATTATTATTTTCAAGTATTGGTTTTGCTGGGATTTTGTTTGATTGCATGGAGGATTTCATCATGAGCTGACATCAGTTAGAGAACCACTGGAAAACCTGGGAGTACTGGACAACTGTTTCGTCCCAGTTTGGGACTCTTCATCAGTACGCACCCACCGGGGTTTGAACCCGGAACCTTCTGGTTACAAGGCTACTGAGCTCGTAGACCATTGAGCCACTGGGACCCGATCAATGGTCCTTGAATTCTAAATTCTACCAATTCACGAATCGCGACCATTTCGCAATGTATCATTATTTTATTGTTATTCTCGTTTCAGTTGAAACTACCTTTTGTCAGTACTTTATTTTAACTCGTTCCATTATTATTAGTAGTATTAGTATTCATTAAACAATTCGTTGATTAATTATATTGGACCGAGACGTGCGGTCTGCGTTGACATAACGGCTTTAGTGATATGTCTGAGGAACTGATATGTTGGTATTTGGTGAACGACGTTAGGTGTTTAAAGTGAATACAGAAGTAAGACAAGTCTGACTGCGTATTATTATCACCAATGATACTCTTGGGTTGGATTATACGTAAGACTGTGCGTCAGGAGCGAGAAAACAGGAATACGCTGGACCAATAAGAGGACTCTAGAAGATCTGGATTTCACGGATGATTTATGTCGAATGTTACATAAATTCGAAGACTTGCAGGAGAAAACCAACAAATGGGAAGAAGAGACAGGCAGCGATGACAGGACTCCAGATGAACATAAAGAGAAGACAGAGGTGGTGAAGATAACCAACCAATCAACGAACAACAACAAGCACCAATCACTATCAATGAAATAAATTTAGAAGAGGTCACTTCCTTTACTTATCTGGAAAAGAACCAAGCAAGAATCTATTGCTTAACAAATATTCCGAAGGAAACGGAGAAGGATTAGATATGCACTGAGGACACTGTCGAATGACACAGCCCACCAGACCATCGATCAAGTGGAACTTTAGTGGGGCGTCCAAGGGTGACATGAAGGACAGCTTACAAGGAGGAGATGAGAGACTATGGGCAATCGTGGGGCCAGCTAATGTGGACTGCAGAAAATAGAACAAAGTAGAGACGACGTTTTGAAGCCTTATGTTCCACTCGGAACCCAAGGGAACAATCAAAATAATAATGGTATTTGGTGGACAGTGACCAACAGTAGAATCTAGGATGCACACATTTTCTTCCCTCTGAGACTCGTCATCTGGACACACCTACAATCTCCGGTGGAAGATGGTGTTCCCACTGAGAGTAGAACCTGGCGACCATCGTTTCCAATACCGAAATGTTATCCAATAAGCCATTCAGGCCACGAGAGTCATCTTCTGTGTGCAATGCGTATCAGCTGTTATTTGCTTAAGTTAATTATGAATTTCCGGTTGGTTGATTATGCTGAGTCGAAATGTTAGACAAACCCCCAGTACGGACGCTTCTCAAAGCCTTTACCCTCTACCTATCTATCTGAACCTGACCTTTCACTCTGTAAAACTGATTCTTTATAGTTATTGGTCAAATATCTCCTTATGTATTTCTCATACTATACATACAAGACTGTAAGAAGTGAGTATTTATCTGAAGATTTATACTGAGAATTGGTGAAATCATTAAATTTTCTGCTTATATCACTAATACTTTATTGTTGGTTTTAAATTCACATCGGGAAATAGATAGGTCCAAAGATAAATCAATATTTAGATATATTAAGACATAAACTTGGTGTATTTTAGGTGCCAAGAGGTGTACGTTAGTGGTGGGGTACTACCGGGATACCCTGACCAGAGCAGGTGGTCGTCTGAAGAGGCTATTCCCCTGAAGTCTGACCTATAAGGTAGTAGAATAGGGTCAGGAAGTGCTTCCCATGTTTTCCGAGGAACCAAAACAGGTTTATCCGCAGTTCAATACGTTTAGATTGGATCGGGGTTTCCCAGCTCCCCTAGGTACACCTGCATGTCCTCTATCAGTCCAGTTGTAAGCGCCATACGTTCGTATTTCCCCTTCCACTTTTATGACAGGCAGTAAAAAGGGCTTGCCTGGCAGAGGCAATGAACAAGTGGCCATGTGAGAGCACTTCCAGAGGAAAACCAAAGTCCACTCACTCTTGGTAGTATCAGGTGATTCACGGGGAAAAAGATAAATCAGACTAATATAATATTCTGTGTAGAACGACCATCTCAGCGATTGAAAAAGGAGTTAACAACAAACTTTCAATAGGTCATTTCAGAGGTTTCGATATGAATAGCAGGGAGGTGGGGTGGGAGACAATCTTCAATGGCAATCGAATGCACCATTTTAGATCATCATTGTTCAAAAGAATAACGTTTAATTCAGTACTTTCCCTGTAAAGGTTTGACCTGTCAAATGAAAGAATTTGTGCGCACGAGTATTGGTGTTTCAGTGGCAAGATGCTCGTTAAAAGAAAACACACAAGGTGACCGAGTTTCAATTCCTGGCCACCAAAGCACACTCCTGAACCTCATCTTATTTGCACCACTACTGAAATTTCAAAGTTTCTATCGCTGTCTTCTAAACAGAACGCAAAGGAATAAAAGACGAAGAATGTAACAATGGAGTAGCAATCAAATCACTTACCTCAACAAAAGCATAATAGCTGAGTATTGACCAATCAGTATTCGGTTGAGAACGAAGCACTATAAAGAAGAAACATCAGAGAACAACAGAGAACATAAATGGGAAGAGGTGAAACCTACTTTCACATAAAAACTTTTAACTATTAACAACTGTTCGCCTCTTTTGCTTACATTATCAGGCCATTTCGCTCTGAGTGAAACATACCGCTTCAAGCTTTGAAATTACAATAGAAGTGGTGTTATTTTACTTCATTTTATGAAGTGGCACTACTAACCTCACGCCCAACTTTCTATCTTTACCGGACTTATTAGAGGCTAAGTGAGGTTTAGGAGTGAGTCGGCCAGAGCTCGGGTATTCCAGGCAGCCTGAGTGGTCTGTAGCAGTGCAACAGCAAAAATTGGGTAACGGCATTATTTACTGGTAATTCGATGTAGAGATAAAGGCAAAACATATCTACCATATAGTAGAATCACAATTTGCACATATCTTAAGCATTGTGCTTCTTTGTCCCCCTTGATGTTTCCCATGTTGTTTCCCAAGCATAGTTTATTGCTACTCTTGGCCATTATATCCACCTCTCCGCTATTTTATATTCCAGCAGATAGCATACATATGTCTGTATCTATATACTACTTATAAATTTTGTCAGTAGCACAGTAGTGGTACAACCTGGTGAATTAAAACGCACCAGTTAATGTAGTAGTGCATCGGTGACACAGAGGTAGAATGCTCGCCAGTCACTCACGTAGCTCGGGGTTCGATCGCCGGTTGATTTACTCCGAGAACTCGCTTAGCCCGGCAAAGAGGGAAGATTGTGTGTAAAAAATAAAACACTACTTCTACCGAAACTTCTAGAAGCCGTATGTTCCACTGGGAATGTAGTTGATTATCTGCACAAGCCATACCACTATTCCTGCGTCGTGTCATATACTACTGATTCATTATTATAAGTAGTTTGATACCATCCGTACAAACCAGCAGTGTTTAATAGTTAGATCGAAGGGATCTAAACACTGGATAACCAAGTTCATCAGCCGTGTACCCGGTTCCGAACCAGTTACCTTTGTTTTTTATTATTATTAAAAACATGTACAAAGATATCTCAATCACACAAACAAAAATAATCGTCAGTTCATGCACGTCTGTATGTACTAATGTAGGGAAATATGTTTGAACTTGTGATACAAAGACTAGGTTCTCCTTTTATATCGATTCAAAACCAACTATGGCAGATTGATGTGATTTCAAAATACCAAATCACAATTGGCTGAATTTCATAAGATTTTTTCACATTGAACTAGATTAATTTTCAAGTATTGGTTCTGTAGGGATTTTTTGTTTGATTGCATTGCGAAATGGTCGCACTATATCGTGAACTGGCAGAAGTTAGAATTCAAGGTCCATTGATCGGGTCCCGGTGGCTCAATGGTCTACGAGCTCGCCTTGTAACCAGAAGGTTCCGGGTTCAAACCCCGGTGGGTGCGTACTGATGAAGAGTCCCAAACTAGACTGACAAAGCAGCTGTCCAGTACTCCCAGGTTTTCCAGTGGTTCTGTAACTGATGTCAGCTCATGATGAAATCTTCCATGCAATTGAACTAGATTATACATTGCATAAACTTATCGTAATGCATACAATAGTATAATGAGTTGTTCATTATACAAAATATAGTCCATATACCGTGTAGTTCTCAAAGAGACGAAATAATTTCAGTAACCGAGGCATAATACTATCAGAAACGCTATGTGAAAGAAAGACTTGTAACATAAATCCCAGTCACTTTAAATCAGTGGAGGTTCACAGTTTCAGTAAACACAGGTGATGCTATGCTGGATGGTTGGAGGTAATCGACGGGAAACCCAGTCTGACCTAGGTTTCACGCTTGTTGGCACTCACCACAGTCAGCAAAACGTATCTGTAACCTTGGAGAAAATGATGCCCATTCTGAGATTCGAACCAATGTCACCCTGTGCTGCGGTCAGAGACGTAACCACTGAGCTACTCAGGCTGGCGACTAACCTCCTGTAGGACTGACTGTATTAGATACTATGATTGGACACCAGTTAGTAAACAGTGGAATGTATCTGGTCCTCTGTTTAGTGCAGCCTGAATTCTATCAAGCCAAGTTTACAATGTCAAGAGAAAGCGCATTGCTGTAGAGTACAGTTGAATCTTATCAGGCACTCGGGTATCACATCTACACTACAATTAGCGTAATTCATCGACAGCTAAACGGGTTGTATGTATATCCTGTCGAAATTTTGTTAGTTACTAACTCACCACGGCTGATTCAACCTCCCAAATAAGTGAAATGAATCGAAATACTAGACGGAATTTACTTATTAAACTTACTGATGATACTGACGATTTCTAATGTAACAATTTAGCCTTATGAGGTGCAAAACACATTACTCGCCTCACAACATCTTCAGTTGAAGTGCCATCTATGAGACTATGCAGCTTGTCACTGTTTCCAGCGTAATAAGGCTATATCTCCTACATATCCTAAGCCAATTAAGCAGGCAAGACTGATCAGGTAGTGAACCATTGGAAGATCTGTTTCGTTCTAGTCTGCGAATCTTCAGCAGTACTCCGCCACCAGGTCACTCGCTTGTGATATTAGCTGCAGGTTATGCTAAATATGTCACGAAACGGCAGAAGTTGGAATTCATGGCCCACTAGGTCAGATCCCGGTGACTGAATGGTTTATGTGCTCGCCTCGTAACCAGATGGTTCAGGGTTTGAACCCTAGCGGGTATGTACTGATGAGGAGTCCCAAACTAGGAAGAAATAGTCATTGAATGCTCCCTGGTTCCTCTCAATGGTCCCTTGCAAACCAACACCTGATAATTATTAAAGAAGTCTCTGTGAAGTAGGTTCACCCCTATAAAATTAGGTTATCACTGATATACGGACTTCCACAAGCATACCTAAAATAGATTTGAGACAGTGGAAATCTTTGACAGACAGACTCAATGTAGATGCAAATAACCTACAACATAATATATTGTGAGAGAGAGAGAGAAAAGCATCACTACGCAGCACAATGTGGAACATACAACGCAGAACACAAGAAATGGTGAAATGAAGTAAATTAACACGTTAATGATGATGACAGTTCACTTACATTCAAAACAGTATTCAATAGCTCGACCGAAGGTTGCACGAAGTAATGCTAATCGATGCTCTGTAAGAGAAAGTAAAGGAGAAAAAAATCAAATACTCCATAAATAATTTAGTTATAATAGGTTTCATAATCCAATACAAACTTCGCTTAATAGGTAATATACTGAGTGAGATAAGTGTATTGGTTAAATTGTGTCCAGTATTCCCCAATTGTTTCTCGATGACTCTCTAACTGATATCATTCCGAGGTAAAGACTGAAACAAATCAAATCCTGACAAACTAACTCTTAAAAATCAATCCGATGCTGGCTAGTGACTGCCTTACACAGGACGAAGTTGCCTAGAGTTCTAATGAGAAGGTGTGACCAGTAGGGACCCACCCAGTCGGATGTGATAATACAAATACTCGCCAGCGATGAAAGTGGACGGTGCCAGTTGCGTTAAAATTACAAGTTGGTAGAAGTTAGAGTTCATGGGCTGGCCATCGAGTCTCGTTCCAATGGACGAGTAATAGTCTGGAAGCTTAGCTTGTAAATGGAAAATCCTGATTTCGAATCCTTGTGGTAGGGTGTGTACTGCCAATTAGCCAATGAACCGCCTTCGCACCGATGCTTTAGGTATAAATGTTCATAAAATATTAACAAAGCCTACGTATTCGTTATTTCCACAGTGGTCAGGTGGGGCGGGGCACCTTCGATTAACAAAAATTCAAAAGGACAGAACCATAACACTGGTTAATAATAGACAAGTTAAGCATATCCAACAGGGACCACAACAATCAATACAGATGTACAGTAAAATATATAAGGCAGGAAATCAAATCATATGAATACTACAAGCAACAATAATAATAAATTTATGTAAAGCAAAAATGTAAACACAATCATCGGTAAATTTCTGGATGGTGTTTGACTGTTATAAGGATAAAATTTGGGCACTGTGGTGGAGTACAACTAAGCCATTATAGATAAAATTTCATTTTGATAAAATCACATAATGTTATATAGTAATATTTACTGATGAACACGTTTCAAGCACAAATTATTGCTGCTCATAATCATATCAAAGCACTACTCACACAATTTTTTACTTCATTTATATACATGAGTAATATCTCATTAAACAATTGAATAAAAATCAATATGAGATAAAGTACGTCCCGAAATAATATTATTAGTGTTATCAATCAAATATAATCAAGATTGGAAATAAGATTGTTTTTACAGTAAAAATAAGTAACTTGTTAGAATGTTGTGATGTGCTTGAATGGAATTGAAATAGAATTTTAAGATTATTTATTATCCTCCTCTGATTTGAGTGACTGGTGGTAATAATATCTTCAATACATATCTCGGGTATTTCCATTGAGTCATTTCTGTTGCATGTGTTGTGTTGGGTGTAGACTGGATGAACCAGGCAGGATTCAGTAATCAACCTCTCACTCCACCTACCTATATTACTTTTTAGAATTTTGACTCTGTTCTATCCACCCTATTGTGTGGTTGTGTGTTAATGCATACGGTGAGATTGCTGAGGTTTTTCCTAAATTACTTACCTTCGTGAGATCAATCATTCTAACCTTAGCTAAATTCTTATGTTCTGATAATCTGATTACCCCCGACCTACTTGTTTGACCTATGTAGTTGACCTCACTCACAATCATTGCAAGGTATTTTGTAAATTATATTGTTCCGTTTAATTGGGTCCACCGGGTCTTTTAGCCTACAGAGCTTGTCCTACCTGAGTGAATTTGTAGGTTTGAATGCCATCCTAATTCCTCAATTGTTGAGAATCTTACGTGGGGTCTCAGAAGTCTCCTCTTTATATGGTAAAACTACTGTAGATGCCTTATATTCTCTCTTATTTATGTGATCATTATTAATTTCACCATTACTTTTATTTTGCCTTTGACCTTTTTTTGATATTCCTAACAAATTGTATGGGATAGTTATTTGACCGTATTCAACACAACATGACAGACGAACTAGAATTGGAAGTTCAAAAAACACCCTCTAGCACACTAACCCAAGTTACTTACAAAATAGAGAAGATATTAAAAACAAGTTAAACGAATACTGAAAAACTTACCTCTAGATAAAGAATTCTTCTCCAATGAACAAAGCCTGCGTACCTGATGATCACAATAACTACGCCAAATTTTAAGCACATCATTTGGATCTGTGAAACCAGCGTCCAAGGCTGTTTCATAGATACCTAAACAGGAAATAATTTTTAAAAAAAATTAATAATATAGACAGAAAATTTGAAATGTATTTACACAATTATAGATAAGATTTTATTTTGATAAGTCACACAATGTTATGCAGTTACATTAACTGATGACCACCTTTCGAGCACAAACTATCGCCGCTCATAATCATATCAAGTTACTCACACAACGTTTTTCTTTTATTCATATATATATGTCTGAGATCGATTAAATATTTGAATAAAATCAATATGTGATAATGAACATTCAGTAACAATAATACGAGTGTTATTGATCAATTACAATCACATGGGAAATAGGACGAGTGTTTTTATAGTCATCATAAGTAACTTGTTAGACTGTTGTGATGTGCTTGAAGTCATCTACTGTTATACCATATATGGAGGGGACATCTGAGACCCTACGTAGGATTCTTAATAAAGCAGGAATTAGGGTGGCATTCAAACCTACAAACTCACTCAGAGACAAGCTCTGTAGGCTAAAAAGGTCCGGTGTACCCAATTATAATATAATTTACAAAATACCCTGCAATGACTACTGTGAGGTCAACTATATAAGTAAAACTAGTAGATCGGGGGTAATCAGATTAGCGGAACATAAGAATTTAGTGGCTAAGGTAAGAATGTTTGACCTCGAGAACATAAGTAATTTAGAAAAAACCTCAGCGATTGCACTGTATGCATGGACACACAACCACACAATGGAGTGGATGGGAGAGGGTTAAGATTCTAAGAAGTAATCTACGTAGGTACAGAGAGAGGTTGATTACTGAATCCTGCCTGGTTCATCCAGTCTACGCCCAACACAACACATGCAACAGAAATGACTCAATGGAAATACCCGAGATAAGTATCGAAGATATTATTACCGCCAGTCAGTCAAATCAGAGGAGGATAATAAATAATCTCAAAATTCTATTTTAATCCACATACATTAATTATAACATTCTAACAAGTTGATTATTTTGACTATAAAAACACTCGTCTTATTTCCCACCTGATTGTAATTGACCAATAACACTCATATTATTACTTCTTAATGTACATTATCACACATCGAATTTTTATTCAAATATCTGGTCAATTACACACATGCATATAAATGAAGGAAAAAGTTGTGTGAGTAACTTGATATGATTATGAGCGGCAATAATTTGTGCTCGAAACGTGGTCGCATCAGTTAATATTACTGTATAACACTGTGTGACTTATCCAAATAAAATCTTATCTATAATGGAGTTACACTCTACCATAGTGCCCAAGTTTTGTATCTATATCAATATTTACACAAGTTAATCTTAGCTGAAGGACGGGAGAGAAATCAAATAACTATGCGAGTAGATTTACTCAACGTACTTGCATATTAATATTCTACAGGAGATGAATCACTTGATGGCGAGTAATGTACTTGTTTAGTTCCAGTGTGTGAAATGTAGTCACTAGACTGCATTTGCAGTTTACAGACATTAACAGTTTGTTTGATATATGTTTCAAGCTTGAAAACCAATAATACACTCAATACTGAAATTAATGTGACGAAATCTCAGCACGGATACAGAGGGCTAGTTTCGCATATGCCAGTTTACGCCGTCTCTGGCGTAGACGTGATACCCGACTATCGACCAAAGGGCGTATGTATTCCTTTGCAATTCGCTCCCTTCGCCTTTATGGCTGTGAGATGTGACAACTGACAGTGGAAGACATGAAAAAATTAGCTGTCTTTGATCATAGGTGCCTGCGTTCTATCTCCCGTGTGAAGTGGTATAATAAGGTGAGCAATATTGAGGTTAGGCTTCAGTCGAGTGCTAGGTAGGGAGAGGAAATCAATCGACGAGGCTATGAAATTAAATCAACTGAGATGGTTAGGACATGTGTTACGTATATCTAGTCATCGCCTTCCTCGGGATGGTGAAAACGAATGTAAGCTGGAGACAACTAGTGATATGGCTCAAAATCGTTCTCAATGGTTGGCGCAGATGCATCCACTCCTTGTGACTTATGATTTCCAATGAAACTATATTTTTCTCCATTATTACTATTCCTTTGTCTCACACCTCTGTTTACTGTCTTTATTATGCATTTCTTCTACTTTCTTCTCTAGCTTTGTATGCTACATGGAGTGTGGTGACTTGAACTGCCGCACATCAGTGCAAAGTTCTACGTCGAAAACAGACAGACAGACTGACTGAAATTAATAACTTTACCAGTAAACTACTCAGGTTAGAGATATTATATTACCGATAAGCGCTAACAAGGAAGATATCTGATTTACACAGAATTTACAATCTGGATGTCCACATCTTGTCACACGAAGAGGTGTTCAAATCTATGGCCTAATGTTTCTATGTCAAGCACTTAGATCAATGAGCTACAGCCACAGACACGAAAATGAATCTCATCTGCCTATAAAATGAAAATAACATTGGTGTAAAACAAAAATTATGCAGCATCAGTGTTATTTACAGAAACATAACTGATCTCTTCATAGCTAGAGAAAGGATAAAAGATGATAAGATATAAACTGGTAAGTCGTCAAATAATTTTGACTAATCAATCAATATTATAATTTCCCATATTGGCAGCCGAAGAAACCTTTAGTCACCAATGATGCAATGACTTAACAGAGGCGCTTTGTTGTCATATATATAAGGAGTGAGGACACGGGCTATCGCGAGATGTCTCCAAGCGTAGTATGTGTAGCGGTTAGGATTCCTCTCAGGCAGAGCGGGAGCGCTTTGTGCGTCTGTGGCACAGTGGTAGAATGCTCGCCGACCACGCCACAAGTGGTTCGTGGTTCGACCCCCTACCACCGACGCACTCCTTTACCTCGCTAACCCAGTAATAAGACTGGTTAAGAGGGAAGGTTTGACATGAGACTAGCAATCCCATCCCGTAAAAAATAAACACGACTGCTACAGAAACTTCAGGCCTCTAGCTTGAAACCCTATGCTCCACTGGGAACGTAAAGGATTACACAAAAATATATAGCGAATATCAAAACAAATATTCTACCTGCGTAGAAAAGTTCGTAGAGCACCTTTACAACAGCTGAACGCACAACATCTGAATAATGATTACAGCATTCCTCTAGGCCTATAATATAAAATCAACTACCGGGGAAAATTCAAACCGTAACTGAACATAAATATACTGCGATGAAAGCGCGGCGAGTCTGATTTGTGATAGCGTATATCCTCATCTATTCTGTATGAGTGACTAGATTAACGAATTCAGAAGTGTTGGTTGGTTGGTGATATGATGCACACAGTTCATTAGTTGTAAGCCGAAAATTCAACAGTCCGTAGGTATAATGGTAGTGAGACGAATCCTTTAATTCCTAGAGGAAAATAGGGCTTCAGCCGAACGTCTCCATTGCGTTCGGTTTTCTGCCAACTTTTTCTCCCCGCTCCAAGTCTTCCTACATGCTTTCATCTCCTCTTCACATGACCTCCTCCAAGTCACCCTTGCACTGACGACCAACTCGCTGCTTCTCTTTTGGGTTCCACTGGACGGCTTGTCTCTGGATGTCACTTGATGGTTCCCTCAGAGTATGGCCAATCCATCTCCATTTCTTCCTACCTATTTGTTGCATAACCGGTTCCTACTGGGTTGGTTAGCTCCCAGAGATCACTGTTGCTGATCTTTTCTGGCCAGCCATCTGATCTTGAGTATTGAGCGAAGGCAGCTGTTGATGAAGGTCTGTAGTTTGTTTGAGGTGCTCTACATGACGCGCCAAGTCCCTGATTTGTATAGTGAGTAGCACTGACTTCACATTGGAGTTGAAAATCCGGATCTTATTTTTCATTCAGAGTGCTGTTGGCCTTCTTAGTAATAATATCCTATAATTCTTATGGTTATGATAACCACAAATTTCTTTCAAAACGATATGTATCTTATACAGTCCCAAAGCATTAACAGACTGCATTCATCAGCGGGTCACACGTTCGTTTAATATTCCTATCCCCGTGAATTTATGGGTCGCTACTAGTTATCAGGTGTGTGTGTGTGTTTTTTTTTGGTTTAGTGAGTACAGAATCATTATTACCAACGTCTAATCCAATTCGGGCATTTCAAAAATCTTGTAGTTTCATTAGCAGATACAGAACACATTCCATTGACTGTTCAAGGTATTTTTGGCTGGTTGATGGTACGAATTACTGTTTTCTGTCATATATATACCAAGAAAAGACATACTTCATACACTAACAGATAAAACCATGTTATGCTGTGTACATAACCGAATATTGTTTCTTATTCACGACTTTAGTCACGAATATTAGACCAGTAAAGTCATGGGTTCAAACGGACATTCATGGTAATATATGTGTAAAACTTGGGCACTGTTGTGGAAGTAAGTAATTCCATATCAGTTTGTTTATTAGATATATCACACAGTGAAGAAACAGTATTATTTACTAGAAGATGTTTCCAACATCAAAAACAAGGAATCTAAATCATTAGTAGTAATTCCATACAAGGAAGAAACCTCGGAAACCACCTTACGCAGAATTCTTAACAAGGCAGGAATAAAAGTGGCTCGTATTCAAACTCACAAACTCAGTTAGAAACAAGCTATGTCGGTTAAAGGATACTGCCAGTGGAGCCTTTAAAACAAAACCAATCAAATCCCTACAAACCAACATTTGACAAAACAATTTAGTTTATCTAATACCCTACCTTCGATGACTGTCAGGTCAAATAGATACATCAAACTAGTAGAACAGGGGCAGTCAGACTAGCCGAACATAAAAGTTTAGCAAAATCTAGATTAGTTGAGTCGAATAAGATAAGAAATCTAGAGAATAATTCAGCTATGGCACTCACTACATGAAATTGCACACAACCATACAATAGGCTGGATGGGATAGGATGACAGTTTTAAAATCTAATATCACACAGTGGAGGGAAAGATTGATAAAAGAAGCTTTATTTATCGAAGCAACTGAAGAGAATACGTGTAATAGAAATGATTCAACATCTATCCACCCAGATATCTGGAAAATTCCACTACCCCAACGACGACAAATAGAAGAGAACAAAGAGAACTATAAATCTCAAGTTTCGAAGTCGTGTGATTATAATTGATATGATTATGAACAATAAATTTTGTTCGAAACTGTCATCCAGTAAGCAATAATACTGTTTCACTTACTGTGTGATACATCTAATAAACAAACTAATATGGAGTCATTCATAGTTTTTTACCTTCATAAAGTGAAGCTTCAATCCCCTTTCCAACCAAAACTTTGAATGAAAACAGCCACTTGAAAATTAATTCAATACTCAACTTACTGACTGACTATGGGATGATGAAGTTGCTTAGAGTTCTAATGAGAAATCTTGCCCAGCGGGGGTTTACCAAATCGGATGTAAGGATAGGGGTACTCTAACCGATGACATCAGCTGATGGAGGTGTTATTAACCATGAATTAGGACTTCCAGTGGTTAAATGATTAACGAGCTCGTCTCTTAGCCCGAAGGTCGTAGGTATGTTCTCCGTGCGGTCATAGAAACGGGCTGCTGAAGAATCCTAGACCAGGATGAAAGAGCTCTCCAATACTCCCAGGTTCTCTCTCTCTAACTGATTTCACTTCATGATATATATATATATATATTTACAAGTTACATAAATATTCTTACCATCAACCTCCTTAAATATATTAGACTCTTGTGAAACAGAGTCGTGTTCTGTTCCATTGGTGTAGCCTTTCAATGAAATACTGTCAAGGATTACAGCTTCAGTTACTAGCGCATATCGTTGCCATAGATCAACACACCAAGGACAATTACGTACTGATCGAGTCAATAGCTTTTGTAAGCGTTGAACGTCATTTTCTAATTGTGACGCCTTGAAATGAAGAAATCAATGTAAAGTGATTATAGGAGAAGGAATAGAAGAATGGAGTTAGTATCACAATAATAATAATAGTAATAATAATAATAGTAATAATAATAATAATAATAATAATAATAATAATGGTAAAATATTACTCAACAACAACCGTAACCTGCGATTCTATGCAGTTGGTTATGAGTCACACCTATTGTGTTAGGGTTGGTTAGTGTTACTGCCTAGTTGACCAAAACTCGGTGGGTAAAGCACTGTTCAAACCTGTGACCGCCCACAATTTGGAAGTCAATGGCCTGGGCCAGTGATCCACAGCTCCATACTCTGAATAATAGCACAAATAAACTCAAGTTCAGCGCGATATCACAAATAAGACTAAAAGTGAAATGATAAGAATAATGACTATCAACTATACAGCTAATCTGCTGATATTAGACGGTTGGAGGCAATCGACAGGAAGACTTCGAACTAGGTTTCTTGCTAGTTGGCACTCACCAGTCAGTAAGGCGTATCTTCAACCTTGAAAGAACTCATGTCCCTTCTGAGATTCGAACCCGCACCACCCAGTGCTTCAGTCACAGACATTACCACTGAGCTATTCGGGGCTCGCGATTGACCTCCTGTAGGACTGTAGTGGATACCATCTAATATCATCAAATCAATGTGCATGGGTGATGATGAGCTACCTAGAATGGTGGCCACATTGCAAACCTGACAGGTAGAATTCAGTCTGCACCAAAGAAGGGGCTAGTTACTAGCGTCCAATTAAAGTATAAAGCTAACTTCTAGAGATATCATCAGATTTTCAAATACAGATCAAAGAAGAAAAGGGTTACAGATAAAGTTCCAACTTCAGAACAAGAAGGAGAACACGTAATGAACTTTACGCTGTATATTGACATTGTAAAGGCAAGAGGAGATATATTGTAACAGTAAAAGACGAAAGATTTACTAAAGGTGTGTTTGTTTACAATCCGGTATCTCTATATAGCCAAATTATGTACACCTTATCTTCAACACGCCATTTACACAGATCTTTCGTGTTGTGTTACTTCTGTCCTTCATATTATGTTTCTTTGTGTTCCTTTCACGTCTCCCATGTTTCTCCGCAAAGCTGAATCACTTTTATTTCGCTGACTCCAAATCTATCTCCGTGCAATTTGATGTTTTTATGTCAATAAACATTGTTGTGAACTTTTCTTATAATACGTATCTAGTCATATTCATATCTCTACCGCTATTAACACTCTTTTTTTCCTTTATATGTTTAAGCCATTCCGGCTTCATTGTAAAATGAATAAAGCCTAAATTCTTGGTTCATTCGTCTTTTCAAGATTCAAGCATCACTCATCGTTCTAAGACTCAATCACCTTCGTAACAATTTATTCATTTTACAATATTCATGGAACGATTTTTCCGACCTGATCGGTTCGACGTAGAACCTAACGCAGTTGGAGCTGCCAAGAAGTGGGATCACTGGTTTGCGACTTTTCCTACTTCATTGAATCAATGGGATCCGAAAATCCTTCGAAACTACATATTCTCTTCAATCATATTTCTACTTCTGTATACGAATGCATTTCTGAATGCAAAACATACGAAGAAGCTATCGACACTCTCAAGAGTCTCTACATGCAGCCTTGCAACGAAGTGTTTGCTCGACACTTGTTAGCAACGTGTAAACAAGAATCTGGCGAAAATCTGGATCAGTTTGTTCGTCGACTCAAGTCGCTGACTACAGATTGTTCATTCAGGGCAGTTACAGCCGAAGAACATCGTAACGAATCTCTACGTGATTCATTCATCTCAGGTATACAGTCTTCGATGATACGCCAGAGGCTATTAGAACAGCGTACTTTAACTTTTCAAGCGGCATACGATCAAGCACGAGCTCTAGAGATGGCACATCAACAATCGCAGTCATACAACAATCCTGTTACACCTTGCGCGTCCATTTCTTTACATGATGTACCTCATTCATCAGATTCCACACCCTCCGTCAATGAAACAACCATTGCTGCCGTTGAATCCAAATGCTTTTTCTGTGGTAATCGTAGACATCCTCGTTCCAAATGCCCCGCCCGTGATGCAGTTTGCAAAGCTTGTGGCAAGCAAGGACATTTTCAGAAGGTTTGCAGGTCTGCGCCATCTACGAAAAAAGGTCCATCTTCAGTTAACTCTATAATTTCATCTCTCGTTGTGGCTTCAGCACCTCAAAGTCTCACTGATGCTGTTACGCAGCTTACTGTCAATGGGAAATCAATGCAAGCTCTAGTGGATACCGGAAGCAGTGAGAGCTACATCTCTTCCTCAGTTGTTCGTAAGTATAACTGGAAAGTCCATAAGTCTCGAAACAGAATCACAATGGCGAGTACGAATCTTACTAGTCATACTGAAGGACATTGTCTTCTATCCATCTGCTATAAAAACCACACTTATGATCTATTCAAATTTTCCATTCTTCATAATTTATGTGCAGACGTCCTTCTTGGACATGATTTTTTAAAACTTCACAAACACATTGAGATTCCTTTTGGGGGATCAAAGCCGCCTTTTTCTCTCTGTGGTCTACCTTGTGTTCGCGTCGACCTGCCTACCCTGTTTGAAAATCTTTCAAAAGACTGTAAACCGATCGCGATAAAATCCCGGCGTTATTCTCGTGAAGATGAAAGTTTTATTTCCACCGAAGTCAACCGGTTACTGCAAGAAGGTGTTATTGAACCTTCTAATTCTCCTTGGCGAGCTCAAGTTCTTGTTACGTCAAACGAACGCCATAAAAAGAGGATGGTAGTTGATTATAGTCAGACAATCAATCGATTCACTTTTCTGGATGCTTACCCATTACCTAGGATTGACGAAATGATAGAAAAAATCGCACAATATGACATATTCAGCACTCTTGATCTGAAGAATGCTTATCATCAAATTGCCCTAAGGAACGAAGATAAACCATATACTGCTTTCGAGGCTTGTGGGAAACTTTACCAATTTTGCCGAATTCCTTTTGGTGTTACCAATGGCGTAGCTTGTTTTCAACGCATTATCGATGAATTGATCAGTAAAGAACAACTCACAAGCACGTTTGCCTACATTGACAATGTCACTATCTGCGGCAAAACTCAGGAGGAACACGACAAAAATCTAAACAAGTTTATGGTAGCAGCACGCAATTATGGAATAACCCTTAATGATTCCAAAAGTGTGATCTCAAGCAGAAGCATACAATTACTCGGTTATGAAGTTTCAAAGGGGGTTATTAAACCAGATCCCGATCGGCTAAAACCTCTTCGTGATCTAGAACCACCCACAGATATCAAATCTCAACAACGGGCCGTTGGATTATTTGCTTATTATTCACAGTGGATCCCTCGCTTCTCAGATAAAATCCACCCATTGGTAAATAATCGGATTTTCCCTCTTGATATCGAAACTCGAAATGCTTTTGACAAACTGAAAGACGACTTAGAACGTGCAGTCGTTGTGGTAGTTGATCCGAAAGCACCCCTTGTTGTTGAAACAGATGCTTCAGATGTCTCAATTGCAGCTACATTAAACCAGAATGGTAAACCTGTCGCCTTCTTTTCTCGAAGCCTCTCTCGAAGTGAGAAACATCATTCATCGGTTGAGAAAGAAGCCTATGCCGTGGTTGAAGCAATTCGTAAGTGGAAGCATTACCTTCTCGGAAATCACTTCAAACTTGTCACTGATCAACGTTCAGTAGCATTCATGTTTGACAAGATTCATAAAGGCAAAATCAAGAACGATAAAATAATGCGTTGGAGAATTGAGCTATCCCCTTATCAATATGACATCATTTATCGTCCTGGAAGGGATAATCAAGCTGCTGATACATTTTCCCGTAGTTTCTGCGGTTCCTTGCAGTCAGTGTGCGACTTGAAATTTCTCCATGACTCTATGTGCCATCCTGGAGTTGTCCGAATGATGCATTTTGTACGCTCGAGAAACCTTCCATTCTCCCTTGACGAGGTGCGCAATGTAACCAGTAAATGCGTGACATGCTGTGAGTTAAAGCCTCAATTTTACAATCCCTCTAATTTCAAACTCATAAAAGCAACCCAACCTTTTGAAAGGTTAAGCATCGACTTTAAAGGACCTCTACCGTCAGCTAGCCGCAATCACTATCTGCTCACGCTGATCGATGAATATTCTCGATTCCCCTTTGCATTCGCCTGCCCCGACATGTCGTCTCAAACGGTAATGAATTGCCTTTGCCAACTGTTTTCGATTTTCGGTATGCCTTCTTACATACATACCGACAGAGGCGCTGCTTTCATGTCTACCGAATTACGGGCATTTCTTCTGGAGAAAGGCGTAGCAACCAGTCGTACTACCTCATACAATCCTCAAGCCAATGGGCAGGTCGAGCGCCTCAATGGAACACTTTGGCGTGCCATCACTCTAGCATTAAGATCACGGGGCCTACCAACGGCACAATGGGAGTCTGTTCTACTCGACGCCTTGCATTCCATCAGATCTTTGCTCTGTACTGCAACGAACGCCACGCCACACGAACGACTGTTTACCTATAACCGAAGATCGACATCTGGGACAACTCTTCCTACTTGGCTCACTGTACCAGGACCAGTACTTCTCCGGCGGAGTGTTCGTCAGTCCAAATTCGATCCCCTGGTTGAAGAGGTGGAGCTATTGAATTGTAACCCGCAATTCGCTCACGTTCGCTTCGGTAATGGACGTGAAGATACAGTTGCTCTTCATCATCTGGCACCCAAAGGCGAAGATATAGATCAAGTTGAAAATTCAATACCGGAGGGCGACGCAATTCCTGAGCAACAAGTAAATGGGGATGCGACCACTGATCCTAATATTCTTCGTGAAGAAAATACAACTGAAACGAACAACGGGCGTATTCTTTTGGAAAAACAACAACGTGTACGGCCTTACAATTTGCGTACCAGAGAAGCGTGACATAATGGCTCATTCCTTTTCAAGCCGCAGTGAATGTTGTGAACTTTTCTTATAATACGTATCTAGTCATATTCATATCTCTACCGCTATTAACACTCTTTTTTTCCTTTATATGTTTAAGCCATTCCGGCTTCATTGTAAAATGAATAAAGCCTAAATTCTTGGTTCATTCGTCTTTTCAAGATTCAAGCATCACTCATCGTTCTAAGACTCAATCACCTCCGTAACAAACATCTCTTCACATATATACTACTCATAAATCTTAGTAGTACACAGTATTACACGCCTCATTAATACGATTCAGCATTTCCCATAAGGCACTGGACCCTGACGTAGAATTTTTATGGATGCATTCTATCCAGTTTGATCATTTTATTTCACTTCTTTTACATTCCGAGTGCAACATACAGCTTCAAGCTTTGAAGCTTCAGCAGCGTTGGTGTTCTTTCTTACAGAGAGGGACTGCTAGCATCACACCCAACTTTCGGCTAGTAAAATGTTAGGTGAGATTAGGAGTGCACCAGCCGGGAATCAGACCCCGGACCATTTGTGTTGTTGACAACCATTTTATGTTAGAGACACTAATGCACAAACGAAGGACTTCTGAGAAGAAGATTCGCGTAATTTGTCAGAAAACTGGTTTTTTTCATACCGTCGACCAATAATTTATTGGTCATATCAAATAACCAAATAATTAGCTGTAATTTCTAGACAAATTTACCTTTTTGATGAGGCGATAAATCTTCACCCTCTCCGTGTAATCAGCCGTATACTGTCTTGTATGAGTGTTTAAGTAACATTAAGAACAAACCCATATTTAGCATTATTGTCCCCTTTATAATATATACGTCACTTTGAAGAAAGGAGACTGACGGTCAATGATATGTGGAGAAGGTTAGTCGTAGTTCAGCTGCGAAGAAGGTCTTCTTAAGTGAGTGCGACAGTCGATTTTTTTTTGTGTTTCCGCAGATATATCTCCATTGAATTGAAGGTACATGTAGAGTAGTTTTTTCGGGACGCTAAGCATGGGTGGCTTTTGTGGTCTAGGATTCATAGGTTTTCCAATTAATCTTTCTGGATAACAATTCTCGACGAGGATTCTCCTGAGATTGTCCAGTTCATCTTCTACGGTGTCCGAGGTGCAAATTCTGCGAACTCTGTAGCTGAGTGAACGGATCAGGTTTCGTTTGGTGTATAGGGGTATCCAACTGTGAAAGTTAGTAAGCTGTCCGTTCCACATCAACTTTCTGTGGATAAACCTTTTGAGTGCTCCATCCTGTTCTCGTCTTGTTAGTTGGACGTCGAGAAAGTATATTTTGGAGTTGAACTCTTTCTCCAGCGTGAACTGAATCGCAGGGTGGCAGTTGTTAAACGACTTCAAGATGTCGTCTAGATTTTCTTCATCGCTGACGATAATGAAAGTGTCGTTAACGTATCTCTTATAGATTTCAAAGGTATTGATCATTTTCTTCAGGCATGTGTTTTCGAGTTTTGCCATGAAGAAATCTGCAAGCAATGAGCCTAGTGGTGAGCCCATAGCTATACCATCCTTTTGGCGATACATTTCGTTGTTGAGAGATAATTGTCTATAAAGTGTTCAATCATCTACAGTTCACACAGACATCGCTTATACCTCAAAATAACTACATAAGATCGTGGTCTTTAACTCAGAAGGACAGAATACAGGGCTCAATAGGGGTCCTATCCTCATACTACGATAGATTCCATAAAGATGTGGTTTAAGCATTCAACTTTCAACTCTTAGGTTCCGAATTCGAGTCCCAACTCACCTACTTTAAGCCTGAGTATCATCAACCTTCATACACACACACACACACACACACAATGAGCGGCTCAAAGCCTATTAAATGAAAAATTTGTTCCAGGCAACGGAGTCCCAACTAGCTGATGATCCCAAGTTCCAGAAATGTAAGTTCTGTACTGAAAGGGAGACATACATCAGTGGGAGATATACTATAGCTGCATATATCTGCATCTCCGCGAAAAATAATGCCCAACGAACCTTTAATTTAACAGCAACGTATAAATTCATTCCAGTTGGACTACCAAACCGGAAGATAAAAGTGACTATATATATATGTCCTGCAGTCACTCTTGCGGGTGAACTGCTTGAAGTTGTTGATAAGTTTGTGTATCTGGGTAGTTGTTTGAGTGCTGGCGGAGGGGTGACGACTGAGATTTCCAACCGTATAATGAAGGCTAGGGTGGCGTACATCAAATTCAGCCACCTCTGGCGCCATCGCGACGTTAGCCTGGCTGTCAAAGGTCGGGTATACAATGCATCGGTGCTGGCGGGCTGTCTTGCTCTACTCCAGTGAAACCTGGCCTCTCCGAGCTAAGGATGTGCGGTGCTCTGCGTGTTTGATCATTGCTGTCTCCACAGGATTACTTGCGTTCCATGGCATCATCGCGTAAGTAATTCTGAGGTTCGGCGGCGTGTGTTTGAACACAGTGGAGATCACCATTCATTGAGTGCCGTCATCTGAAAACACCGGCTCCGGTGGCTTGGACATGTGCTGCGTATGTCACCCCAGTGGCTTCCGTACAGGTCTCTGTTCGCTAGCCGGCCGTGGGACAGGATGGAAAAGGCGGAGAGGTGGTCAGTCTATGACGTGGGGTCGTGGGATGAAGGATATTTGTGCTAGATTACCATCAGTTGGTGCGTCACGACTCCCTGGTTGGGGTCCGCAAGATAGCTTGAATCGATGGCTCGAAACGTTATCGGATATGGCCAAGATTCGTAATCAATGGCGAATGTGTTGCAATTTCCTTCTTTCTTCCCTTCCCGATGATAGTTAACGAATACTATTTGAACTTGTTAAGCATGACTGTCTTCCTTCCGGCTAAAGTTCTTTATCCGTTCTCTACTTATATTTTTTTTCTTTTCCCTCTGTTTTTCTTTTGATCTATGTTGTTTTATTATTATTGTGTGGCACATCCTTCTTGGTGGCATATTGTATCAAGTTTTTTCTGCGTTTAAATAATTTATATATATATATATATATATATATATATATATATATATATATATATATATATGACATTTCTTATAAAAACACAATACCACTTACCACATAATCTGCATAACGTATCCATATAGACGTGTCCAAACAATGTGCTGTAATAGCACGTTCAAAAAGACAACATACAGTATTTGGCGAAATGATAAAATCTACTGAAGCATTCTTCTCATTGTTATTAACACCATCCTCAGAGGATTTTGTAGACATTTTAGGCTTTTTACGTTTTGCACAATGTACTGCCCAATCAAGATACATATTCCAACTGGCAATAGATTCAGCGTCGGTGAGTTCAGCCGCCTCCTAGATATTTATGCAAAATATTCACATATGTACAATTGTTTAGAGAATTACTCGCATAAATAGAAAACTGTATAGACACATAATGCTCACGGATTGGAAGCAGTTAGAGAACCAATGGAAACCAGAGAGTAGTATTTGCTAAACAACCGGTTTTTGTCCAAGTTTTGGACCGGCTCTGCATCACTGAACATCCATGACCTCACTGCAAGGGATCAAACCCCCCTCCCAGAACGATGTTCACTGTACAAGATGAGCCTGTTGACCATTTTATTCACATGGACAGAATCCAATGATCGGCCCATGAATTCCGACTTGTGTGATGCAAAGAGCGCCACCGCCAGAGATGAATAGTTTGATTGCGAAGCTTTTTTTCAGCTTTCGGACAACAACGTCAACAACATCCACCTCTGACCGACACACCAGTTTCACCGTTCACAATGTCTTTGTATCGCCAGAAATCTTTCTCAAGGAGAATTGTATTTGTATTCCCTCATATTTTTTAATCTTTTCACAAGTAATGACTTCTCTAACTGCATCAACGGATAATGCGGGTTCAAATCTTAGAGGGGACATCAGTTCCCTATAGGTTGCAGATACGCTTTACTGATATGTGCCAGCAAGTAAATAAACCTAGGTTCAAGTCTTCCTGTTGGTTACCTCCAGCCACCTAAGATTAATTCAAAGTACACCATACGACGGCCATTCATCTAAATTTAGTGATCGTGTTGCATACTTTCGATAATGAAAGTCTAAATCTGTTATAGTAGGTTATCATTATATGAACCAGATCAACATATAAAACGGATATGTAAATTGTGAATTTCTAGATTTAAAAGACGATTATAATGCGTCGTTAATAGCAGTATATATTAATTTTGCTTTACCAAAATTTCGACTGTCGGTGGCACAGGGGTAGAATGCTCACCGACCACGCATGTGGTCCAGGGTTTGATCCTCGACCGACGCACTCTTCTCCCTCGCTAAGCTAGTAATAAGGCTGGTAAAGAGGGAAGTTTGGGCATGAGGCTAGCAACCCCATTCCGTAAAAACAAACACCACTACTACAGGAACTTCAAGTTTCTAGCTTGAAGCCCTTTGTTCCACTAGGAACCTATAGGAATGAAAAAAATTGCATACTTGACTGAGAGAATTCAGTTAGTATCAACACTAAGAGCAGACACATAACTTCGTGGTTGCACTCCCAGTACTGACCAATCAAATATACAATGTTTATTTCCCAAGTCCCGACATAAAATCCTTCAAAATACTAGACAAGATTCCAGGGAATGATAAATTTTGAGGCAAAAATTTTAGAGATGGCTTGTATATTAAAAATGAATCTCAAAATACAGAAATCATGTGAAAGGAAGTAAATAAGTGATATTAGTTTAATGCACTAATAACAACATGAAGACAACATGAGTAAATACCGCAGTATTATACGCTTCTTTTTTTAGCTAGCTCAACAAATACCCACCATTGGAAAACCTGGGAGTACTGGACAGCTGTTTCGTCCTAGTTTGGGACTCTTCATCAGTACGCACCCACCGGGGTTCGAACCCAGGACCTTCCGGTTACAAGGCGAGCTCGTATACCATTAAGCCACTGGGACCCGATCCAATGGCCGGCGCATGAATTCTAACTTCTGCCAATTCACGACATAGCGCGACCGCTAGCCAATGTCTTCGGCGAGTATTTGTCCTCACACCCGACCAGCTGCACCTTACTGGTCACGACTTCCCACTGGAACCCAGGTAACTACCTACCTGAATAGGGCCAATCGCCAGTGAGCATCTCTTTGGTATTCAAGTGTTGGTTTGTAGGGATTTGATTGGTTTCAGGATTTCATCATGAGCTGACATTAGTTAGAGAACCATTGGAAAACCTGGGAGTACTGGACAGCTGTTTCGTCCTAGTTTGGGACTCTTCAGCAGTACGCACCCACCTTGTAACCGGAAGGTCCTGGGTTCGAATCCCGGTGGGTGCGTACTGATGAAGAGTCCCAAACTAGGACGAAACAGATGTCCAGTACTCCAAGGTTTTCCAATGGTTCTCTAACTAATGTCAGCTCATGATGAAATCCTGAAACCAATCAAATCCCTATAAACCAAAACTTGAAACACCCACCAGCTCTCATTTCCTCTTCGTATGATCTCCATATGATTCAACTCGCCGTTTCACTGTCGGGTTCGATTAAAGGGCCTGATGTACGATATCATTTAGTGGTCACCGTGTGTGTGTCCAGTTCATGTCCACATCCTTTTGTGCATTTGTTGGTTATTATGTATACTTGGTAGGTTTTACTAAAGTTGCTTTTCGCTTATCATCCTTGCCGGCTATATCATATTCAGTGTTAAGTGAAAATGTCCATTGACGGAAGTCTGCAGTAATCTGTCATAAATGGTTTTGGTGACTTACCAAATCTCTGAAGCACTAACTTGACATTAAGGTTAGAAATTCGCATCATTTTTCCTTGTGCTATGCACTGTAGACCTCTACACAATTCAGAGTAATAAACTCCCGATCCCAGCTTCGATCAAAAACCAGCCATACTTAAAAGAGTAGTTTTGTTAAGGAATATTTTGGACCAGCACGTCTCATTGACTGGATTCAACAGAGAACTTTGCACAGATGTGCAGTAGTTCGAGTTGCTACACTCCAAGTAGTACACAAAACAAGAGGAGGGAGTAAAGAGAGATGCAAACGAGAGAGAGAGAGATAGTAAACAGAAGTGTGAGGGAAAAAGAATAGTAATATGGAAGAACAGTTTAGTTTTATTGGATATATGCCACAAGGAGTGGATGCATCTGAGCCAGCCATTGAGAATGATTTTGAGCCATATCACCAACTGTCTCCAGCTTACATTCGTTTTCACTATCCCGAAGACCCCAGCCAAGAAGCCAGTCTACACCTTTCTTATTATTATTATTATTATTAATGTTGTTCCCTTGGGTTCCTGGTCGAGCATAGGGCTTCAACTGCACGCCTCCACTTGCTTCTGTCTTCTGCTGTACTTCTCACCTGAATCCATGTTAGTCCATACTGTTTCAACTCCTCTTCACACGATATCCTCCATGTCACCCTTCCACTGACGTCCCACTCGCCGCCTCCCTTTCGGCCTGGTTCCACTCGAGCAATGGCCTGACGCGCACGCGATGTCACCCAGCGGCCTCCTCAGCCGCGAGTGCCCAATCCATCACCACCTTCTCCTGCACATTTGTTGGGCAATTGGTTCTTGTTTTGTCTGTCCCCAGTGTTTCTTGTTGGTGCTTGTTTCCGGCACGGCCATCTGATCTTCAGTGTAGATCCAGCGAAGACAGCTGTTGGTTGATAAACGTGGCTGATAACGTCTGCAACAGGCTATTGGAAATATTCTTTGTGACCCGCCCGCCAAGTTTCTGGTCCGTATAGAAGAACTGACTGACTTGACGTTGCTTGTATTGAAAATCCTACTGAATTTTGTTGTTGATGCTGAGTGACAAAGATTTCCAGATTGGTTTCAGGTTGATGAATGTGTTTCTCGCCTTCCCGATTCTCGCTCGATTTGACATCCTCGCCCGTCCTCGTCCTCCTGCAGTTAAGACAATGCTCCCTGGCTAGATAAGTGAATGAAGTAGCCTCTTTCAAATCCCTTTTGTTGATGGTGATTGGCGCTGGATGTTGCTGCTGCTGTTGTTTTTGGTTGGTTGGTTGGTTGGTTATTTTCATAACCTCCATCTTGTCTATGTTCACCTGGAGTCCTGTCTTCGCCGGCTGCTTCTTCGAACAGTTTGTCGGTTTTCGCTTGTAAGTCTTCGATTTTGTGTGACATCAAACATAAATCACCCACGCGCGAAATCCAGGTCTTCTAGGTTCTTCACGTCAGTCCAGGATATCCCTGTCCCGCCTCCCGTTTCCCACTGTCTGACGCATAATCCAGTCCACCACAATTAGGAATATCATTGGTGATAATAAGCACCCTTGTCTGACTCCTGTGTTTACTCCAAACGCCTCGATGAGTTTTCCGTTGTGGATCACTCTACATGTACCGTTGTCGTACAGTTGTTGAATAAGGTTGATGAATATTTGGGGCACTGTACGCCTTAGTACTCGAGTAGTTTCCAAATTACTTCGCGGTCAGAGCTCTCGAAGGCCTTCTCAAAGTCTATAAAGTTGAGTTAGAGGTTTGATTGCCCCATTCCATGCTTTGTTCGATGATGATGATGATGATGATGCGTAGAGTTGCTATTTGGTCAGAACATGATTTGCCTTTCCTGAATCCAGCTTGTTCTGGTCAGAGTTCTGCATCCAGTGCGTCCTTTATTCTCCCCATGATGACACGACTCAGGATTTTACTTGGCGTCGACAGGAGCATGATTCCTCGTCAGTTCTTGCAGAGTCCTAAGTTGCCCTTCCTACGTGCCTTAAACTAACTGTTGTGGATTACATTAACTGATTAACCCATGCTTTAGTTTGACCACCACTAGCTTTCTCTTTTCCAACCTGATTCATCTTATGTCAACTAACACTGCTTATCGAGAAAGACAATGGTTAGGCATGCGTAATGTAAGTCCTAACCATCTCCAACAATACGGACTAACACGTACAACTGACTTAATTAATATAGAATGTCGTATACAAAATACGTCACCTCAATTCACCATTATTTTGGAAAAGCACCACGCAAAAATTAGAGAAAAAAATGCAGTGAAACTACAATGGACGAAGACGGATGGAAAGCAAAAAGGATAATTAAATGTTAACTATTGAAGATTTTCAAAATCTAATTAATAACAAGAAGTGATTACATTTGCGTCATTATCAACAGTTTTTTAACCATTTATCACCGACAATCTCAGTTATAAACAAATTCAAATGATCAGGCGTTGTTTAGCAGGGATTTGATTGGTTACAGAATTAGTCACCAGCTGACATCCCATTAGAAAGCCTAGGAAGTACTGGACAGCTATTTCGTCCTAGTTCCGGATTCTCCAGTAGGAAACACCCACCAGGGTTTTGAATCCAGCACCTTCCGATTACGAGGCAAGCTCATAGACCATTCAGCCACTGGCATCTGGGAGTACAGAAAATGCGGAGGGCATGGAGAATACTACACAAAGAAAAAAGTAGTCACAGCACTCGTGTAAAAAAACCGAACTGTAATCTCTACTTTAAAGCTGTGAATAGCCTAAATCCCCTTATGTCTAATGCATTTCTAATGCCCTACACAGCATAAAAAAAACAAAGTCATATAAAATACATGCACATGAATTGCACTTTATAAAGAATAGAAAGAATTTACTGGAATTTACTGTATAAATAACTCACTTCTAATGCTTCTTCATATGGCAATAGAATACTTAAATCCTCTAGAGCTTTTTCATAATCTGATTTCACTTCTTCTGGCAGGAAAGAATCTGAATGTTCTCTTGGTTGATATAGATCCCCACCAATATCGGCTAGAAAAGTTTGATATTCAAGTAACGTTTGTTCCATATCTATAATTCAGAAAAAGAATTTACCAAAGGAAAAGGATATGGTGAATACACAGAAAATAGTAAAACGGAGCATTCAGGTCTATTCATTTCGAGAATTCAATGATTGAATGCTCTCGTCAGCTACATGGAAGGTGAGGGTTTCATTAGTGGCAGACACAGGCATTTGGAAACCTTACCTAGTCAGCAGTAAGCTTGGAGGGAGAGGGAGTTAGGCATAAGGCTAGTAGAAATCGTCCCACCCCTTTCCCTTGAAAATGACACTACTGCCAGTAGGGCTTTAAAAAGCTGGGAGCGCTATACTCTATTTGGAAAGCAATGGCATGAAAACAAGCTGACGATCGTGGAAATGAAAAATGATTTGACTTAGTTCAGAGAGTCGAGTCAATCTAAACAGTGCCGATTTTTAGCTAACTCTATTTGGACGAACTGGTAACACCTTAATAACAAATTCGCAATTTACACAATCCCGGGAGGTGACACATTTCATCACCACAGTTTCCTTTTGGGAACTGAAATTATTCAGATCAAGCATATCACCACCTAGTGTGATCTGAATAATTTATTTCAGTGCCCAAATGAAACCGTGGTGAAATTTCCTCCCCCACCCCTTGAACTGTGTATATTGCGAATTTGACTTTTAAAAAAGTGACTTACTTAAAAGAGGGACAGCAAGTTGACGACGGAAGAGACGATCCATTTTTTTCACTTGTTCTGATTTTAACTCCTAAAAATTAAAGACGACAGACAGAACACGAAATGTATGAATTATTTTATAACCAAGTGAAACTTCACAGCATACAATACAAACAAGCATCTCTGTCTTCATCCTTATTCACTGGTCATTACAGAAGTCTTTAACATGAATGCATAGAGCGTAGAGACAACAGAGAACGCCAAATGTGAAGTGATAGGAAGTACTGCATCGATCTAATGAGAATCTATGAAGTGCACCATATCCGAAGTCATCCAAAGTGATGACAATTAGTGTCCACTGTCACGACAGGGGCAGGAAATTATATTCACCTAACAAGGTAGAAGAAGAATTAAGCTTTGTCGAAAAATGCCTTAAGGAAAACGGGTATCCAAAAGGATTTATCCTAAAGTACAGCAAAGAAAGAGATGAGAAAGAGAAATCTCCAACAGTTGAGAAGAAGAAAGTGTTCATTTGCCTCCCATACAAAGGAGAATCCGTATCGCAAAAGATTGAAAAGAGGATGAAGGGAGCAATAAAGAGATGCTTCCCTGCAGCCAGTTTGGTGACACTATACAGTACTACGTGCTCCATAAGGCAATCGAAACTGGATAAGTACCCTGCTGATGTTACCTCCAACTGCATTTATATATTTACGTGTACCTGCGGCAGCAAGTACATTGGAAGGACAGAAAGAAGGGCTTCTATCCGGTTTTCAGAGCATATTCCAAGAAACTTATGCCTAAAAGGAAGCAGATATTTACAAATTTCAATTACCAGACACCTTGTGGATACGGGTCATTTTGTCGAGATTTCTAAATCCTTCAAAATATTAAACATACAAAGGACAGCGATCCTACTACGATTTGCTGAAGCAATTGCAATCAAACGTCACAGACCAAACTTATGCATACAGAAAGAGAGTGTGGTTAATCTCTCACTCCCTTGGTAACCATATCACTTTCATTACACTGATTAGTCATACACACTAGTGAGCTCAGCTCACTAAGCAAGTTTTCAAATTGATGAACCTTGACCTTCTTGAGTTGCTATGTTGACCCTGTTTGTTAGATTTTTCTGTTTTCTGTCTTCTCTCACCCCCCTCCCTTTTTTTTCTTCTTTCATAGTTTGATAGTATATAAATTGATGGTGATTGACTTAGATTATAATACTTATATTCCAGATGCGCTCACCTTATAATGTTTTCTCTATTACCTTTCAAACAATGAAGTATGAAATGTTATTATTTATAACCATTGTAATTTCAGGTAGTTTTCAGTTAGCTAATGAGGACCTGTGAAATAGAATGATGATATAATTTTATACTGCAAATTTGGTCTTTCATACTCTATCGAAATTGACTAGCTATTAAGGAACAAGTTCAGTGAACTACCATACAATGCTTTCAAGGAGAATCATTGATAGTCTTCTATATCCATTCAGCACAGTTCTAGACCCATTTGATAAGATAATATTAATAATAATGAAGTTGTTGAATAGTGAATCGACTTTAATAGATTATTTGATAGTCAAAATTACTGGGGACTTCTATATCTATCTCAAAGTAAAAGCCAATGGAATGGCTTTATGGATTGGCGCCATGTTGTGGTCCAACGTCTTTTAACTCTTCTCCCGAGAATACTAAGGGAATATATGCGGAGCGTAGTAGTTTGCCAGGTTATACTTTGTAGCTGTGGGATACATGTACACTGGGATTACAATACATGAAAAACCACACAGTCTTGATCTTAGCTGGTTTATCAAATGGATTTATTTAAAGATGTAATGGTCTGTTACACATCAACTAAATAAATATTTCTCTAGTTTAACCATGTACATAAGCTAAATGTCTGGACATCAGTGCATTTATTACCTAGAGCAACTCTGTGTAACGGGATCAAATCAATACACCTCACCTTAGGGGAGCGAAGAAGAGTCAAGAAGGGAGCGATGGAAGCAAAAAAAAGTAGAATTCGTCCAAAAGGAAAGGGAGGTAAAGTGAGGATAAATCCTGACCGATAGCGGCTACCTTGACGTGATGGTCGGGCTTGCACATCGCGATGACCCAACAAGCTACAATGGCTGGAACCAATGTTCCTGTAGGTTCTACCATGCCAGGAAGCCTGTTGGGATAGCGATTAAACTAAAAGCAGTTACCAGCTTATTGTGAGAATTTTTCTTACACTATGCTGGGGGTCTGTGGGTGAAGTCGTACTGCTGGGGAACAGGGGTGTAACAGCAGTGAGGTGTTTTTCTCAGATGACCAGCATGCCAGCTAGCTATGCTGTCTCTCCACTCCGGAGAGAAGGGGTTAGAAAAGGTCGACCCCAAAAATTGTACATCCCGACTTACCCTACGATGGTCCGTACCCGGTGGTAAGTTAACTAATACGGAACAAAACCAAGAAACCAGTTCATACAGGCCATGTGAGACCGGCCTCAAGCAGTTATCCCCTGGGCTCTGCGGTCACGCAACACTAACTCTCCCCACCGTGTGGGCAGCCGGGAAGTAACAACCGCCCATACACTTCCAAAAGCACACGAAGCCTTCCTGAGCATCATTCTCCTCTACCCATATCACTTTCATCATCTTATTCTCCTACTACAGTTATTACTATTCTTCAGGTTAGTGAGATATCTTCACTTCACTCTGTGACCACAAATAACGATGAAAGCCATAGAAACACCCCAGATAGCCTTTTAAAGCCACGTCGCCAATTTCATATAGGAGCTTTTAACGTAAGTCATATTGTGAGACAATAAGGTCAAATGAGGGGAACCTTGTTTTTAATTAAGTTTCCAAGTTTCTCTTCCTGAAGCTCTATTTTTCACACAAACCTTGAAGACTTTCCTCAAAGATTCATATTTCGGTCAGAGATAAATTTAACCAACTTTGTAATGCATGAAATTGACTAGACTTCACATAACAATAATTACAATGACAACGTTACGCATGAGAGGCAAAACCTCTTGAATTTTAGGAACTCTTGCAACCTTCGGTGCGTCGGTGACTCAGTAGTAGGACACTAGCCAATCATCAAGCAAGTGATCCAGGGTTCAGTCTCCTGTCAGCGCATTCCCAAACCTCGCTCAGTAAGTAGTAGGCCCGGTAAAGACGGAAGGTTGGGTATGGGGGTAGCAATCCCATCCCAAATAAAACACCACTGCTGCTAAAACTTCGAAGCTCTAGCTTGATGTCCACTCGGGACAGGCAACCTGCAACCTCCCCTATGTCAAGCCATCGCCTTTCTCGTCGAGCAATGTTAGCTGACATATAGTCAGTCTGAAAAGGAGTTGGGGGTGGTGAAATCAAAACCTGACACCAATTCGTGAAGTCTCCACCTGTTAATTCGAGACACGTATAGGGGGTGAAGAGTGCCTGCGGCTGATTATACAATAAAGTGCTACGCATGAGAAACGAACCCCCAGATGTTTAAGGAATTTCCTGAGATCAAAGACCCATATTGGTCAAGCTGATGAAACACCTAAGAATGTAAATCATTCATTTTCTGATAAAGCACATATTTGCGCAAAAAGAGAAATATTAAAGTGAATATACAACTATTTTTAAATAAAAAGAGAACAAAAACAATTTTCACCTGATTATCTGACAATTGAGACCAAATAACTGTGAGGAATTCACGATAAATTTCCCACAGCATTGAACCTGCAGCAGTATTAAGTCCTTGATGTGACAAAGCTGATTCAAAGATAACTTCTGCATCTTGTATACCATTTAGAGAAGTGAAGTCAAAATTAGAAATGACGAAGTGACAATATTCTAACCAAATATTGACATCTGAAAAAATATATTAAACGAAACAAATAAATTTGTTAGTCTACAGGGTATTAAAACTGCTGTCTGTGAAATTACTCTTCAAGTAAAAATAAAAGTTTATTTTACCAATGGAAAAGGACATTCTCATCGTACATTATGTTACTGTGATGTTTCATCACTAAACAGTGTAGAAATGTGACTCATTGGTCTAGGGTCTCTGCGTGATGATTTCGAATGCCACTCCACCTATCGAGATTTAGGTGTTCAGATAGTATTACTAGCCTTAACAAATTAGGCGTGGTCCATTGCTAACTGCAAGGAATCGCAGCTGGTTATTGAGTAACATACACACATTGCGAAATGGCATTTAATATAGCAAAAACAAAACATTAGAACCTAGCAACGGAAGTCATACTTAATTGAATTGAGTTCACATGACTTCAGTGGTGAACGCGTTTTGGGCACTATTCACGAATGGCATCTATGTTCTAGACGACAGCCACAGTTACTGCAAGGGATGATAATATTACCCAGTTAAACAACATGCAGTGGAGGGGGATCAGAATCCGAGACTTATTGGATGAAAGTAGTATAATATGCGAGCCCAATTTCGGATTTAACACATATTTACACTAAAATAAAACTAACCTTCGTAATCATCAATGGCTCTTTTGAAAAGAACTTCAACTTGACGCTTTTCTTCACGTGTAGCAGCAATACGTAGCTCATCTTCAATCCATTGTAACCAAAGAGCTGTAAGAAACAGGTGATAAACCGTGTAAAACATCAAATAAAAACAAGTGTTTGTGTTGGTTAAAATTAAGACTTGTAAAAGTAGAATTTGAGTGCTGTGGAACTATCTAAATTATAGTACTACATTAATTATACTCATGGTTTTCCTGTTCGAAAACTGTGCCCAATCTAGTCTGCCCTCAGCTGTTCGGTTGTTAATTTTTACGCTTCAAACACATAAGTCTACACAGACTGAAAAATCAATACAATTGGAAATAAACACTTCGTAAAGCGCATCACACGAAAAAAACTAATTACATCCTTATGAAAATTTCTGTTTGAGAGGTCCTGTAATATGATATTTATGTGATACAGGTACAGCATAAATCTTCCTCTCGCATTTTTTCTGAAATATTAGGCTGACACTATAAAGGTATTTTGTCTTGTAATGTAAGCAAATCTATGCCTTCATGAAGCGACTTTGTGTGTTAACGAGTTCATACCAGAACCGGGTCTTTGATGTCGATAAATGAGGCTGTGAATTTCTTTTTGAGACAATCCATTTCTTGACAGTAGATTTCCAGCTCAAACTTCGCTTCACTACCTAGTTGTATGGCGAAATATTCTTGTCCCTCAAAACGCGTCTGAAGTGCTGACAAAAGCATCTATATATAACTTTTAAGGTAAGGTGGGAAAGCTACTTTCTGAAAGGATTAGCATAACCTAGTTGGTCTAGTCTCTATATCACTGAATATTTTTCAGCAGGCAAAAACCAGGATAATGTCTAACGAGAATTACAAACGTTTTAATATGACATTTGAGTACTTCCATCTGTCTGTCTGGATTCAACATAGAACTTGGCACCGAAGTGCAGCAGTTTGAGTTACCACGTTCCAAATAGCACACAAAGGTAGACAAGAAGATGAATGAAGAGAATCAATACAGTACTTCCATGGAAAATATTTGGACAAATTAATTGGAGGTCATTAAATCCTTTGAGAAAACAACCAAAGTTGTTAAGTGTTATTCAAAATACTATTTAGATACAAGAAAATTGAAACAGTTGACAGGAAGCACCTACGTCAGACCTCATTTAAAATATTGTATATGGATGACAAATGCCTCAAGAAGTAGGCTCAAGTCATGTAAAGGCTACAGAGTAAGAACTATGTTGATTATTGATACGTCACCTTCCTTATGAGAAGAGGCGGGAATATCCAGACTTCCCATAATCATAATGAAAAGTCAGAAGTGATTGAATTTTAGTTTGTCGTCTATCAAAGGGTGATTCGGGCATTGATCTTTTTCCTACTTCCAGAATACCTCTGAGGTCATTATAAGAATGTGCTAAAATAGCTGTCGAACAAAATACGGATGGAACTTAGATACCAACATAAAGTGGTTAAAGACTGGGACTTCTTATCCAACCAAGTGGTATCAGTTCAAAAAGAAACTGGATCTTTGCACAGACATATACTGCAAGAGTTAATACAGGCTACGAGAATCCACTGTTCCCCACCTACTGGAAGTGAATGTTTGTAGAATTCTAATCCATAACACATTAAATGACTACAAGTTACTGGACTGTTGCTGCATCCTTCGCGAAAACTGCCACTGCATATAAAATGGAAGTATATTTGACCGAAGGGATGGGTAAGAACCACCTTTTAATGCACATCCTACGCTCCACCTACCGTACCGGTTAGGAGTATTCCCAGAGCTTTAGATATGTATAAGGAGAATTCCGAAAGATTATCATAAGGGGAGGGAAGTTATAGTTTAGGCATCCAACAGCCGTCAACGCACTAATGTACTTGGATGGCTGTCAAAGCAAAGCAGCAAAACCAAGTAAACGATACTGCATTCATAATAAAACTGCTGAATGAATTCTAACGATATTAAACGAGTTAACCTGTTTATTCTACGTAAACGTTAAAGTTAACATGCCGTAAGAGGGGAAATATTAGGGTTGGTTATGGGTAAACTAAGGTCAGCGTTGATATAGATTAAAGTTAGGGTTCAGTTAGGGGACTAAATTTACCTTTCAGTGGGTTTTTTTATATTTTTGATCATAGCTTCATTTCACACCGCATTATCGATACAAGTATGGAATTTTCAGCATGGATATCGATAGCCCAAATTTAGCAGGCCAACCAATTGATATCAGGTGTGCGTCGGCTGGGGATCGAACCCCAGGGAGAGTCCTAACCACTGTGTCACCGACGCAACCTCTTAGCTGTTTCAAGCTTAAATGTGCTATATTTACTAAAATAGTCAGTGAATTGTGTTTGCGAAAATACTTTTAGGTGTAGTGATATATGTCTTCTATCAGTGATACTTATGATCATAAACATTGCCACACTCAAATTTGTAACTACCAATCATTCTGTGTTGCAACACAGCAAAACCACATAGATAGATATATCTGTGAAATATTACCTGCGGAGAGTGGGTATATATCATGCATACGTTCCCTTGCTGCTTTGGCTTGCTCTAAATCTTCCGTTTTGCGTAAGAATTCAATTAGTTGAACGTGCGCATTGTAATCGAAAGGATTCTCTTCTAACTATTTCACTGTAGTGAAATACAAGTTATCTAACCTGCTGTTTAATTGTGTCAATTGTTTCCTCTAAAGCTTCTTTACTTTCATTTTGTGTCCCCATAGTCTCCTCGCTAATGTCAACCATCGGCAACGAAGGTCGGTAAGTACTAAAACCGAATTGACTTCCAAGGTTGTCCAATATCCAATATCCATTGCCAAAATTTTTATTTTCATATTTTCGCCTGAGGCAAAACAAATGTGCTCTGCGTTAGCATTGTGTTCATTGTGTCTATCTTTCTCTTGAATAAGTCGGATGTGGACACATGCACCACTTATTCTTGGAGTATTTTCCAGGATTTAGAGATTAGATTAAACGAAGATACAGTTTAATCTTGACTTTGGAACTCTCACGCCGCACTTTTGAGATGCTCTAATTAAATGGTAAGGAAAAAAGGAGATAAATGAATTCCATATCCACTGTTTAAAACTGTTAACTCCGTGACCAGATCTGTGGAATGACAGGGATCACACATTCGGTGCTTGTATTCGTTCCGCAACATACTTTTCTTCCGCCAAAGGTGTGAAGATTGGCTAATATAACATTCATCATCATAAAAGTCCCACGTATCTCTTGGTGCTAAAACTGTGAGTGGACGTCAGCATACTATAGTCCTTAACCATGCTGTTACGTCTAGATAAGTGATTGTGTTCTCTGATATTTTATTGTCCTTGATAATTACATTACACTGTTTGAATGCATTTAATTACCCTCTTTGGTTTGATAATGTTTATGCATGTTGATTTTTATGAACAGATCCTCTACAGAATGTTTCGAGTTGGCATGTGTGCTTAACTCAGTACGGATCGTGACTAAACATCTGCACTTGATACAGCAACCTGACAAATAGCATGGTTGAACATCTACATGCCTTGGGCCTCAATAATCGAAATAAATAATGAAAGTTGTCACTTAATGCTGAATAATGATGAAGCTAGAAGCCAGGAGTTCTATTGAATTACTTATCGATTCAGTTCCACTATTAGCTAGTTCTAAGGATTGCACCCATTCATGACCACCTCAACAGGTCAGTGAATTCCGTTTGTTGTGTTAGCTTATGACCTTCCTGCTTAACCTCATCCAAATTTTTTTGTTACCGATTTATTGAGTCACTGGGTATTCGGTCAGCCTGAATAAGACGTAGCCGTACAGAAGAGACAATAGGAGGTCGAGTGCAGCACTGCGTCGAACAGCCCTTTGTACCACTGTTTGGAAGAAATGCTTAGAAGTCATTCTTGTTTTCCACCTCCCATCAAAAAACAACTCTCCCATCCAAGTAGCTGTGTTTCCAAAATATCCAGTTTCCTGGAGGCACTGGTATGAGACACTGACGAATTCTTCTCTGAAAAGCACGAAGAATATGTCAGTAGATTTCCTGTTTTATTCCTGTATGTGAAACTGCTTTTTCCTGTCATTGTAGGTCGTTGCAGGCAGGGACGGTTTTCCTGGCGATGAGTTACGTATGTTGGATAAGCCATTATGACTCCCTTAATTATGCTTTCCACTATTCTAATTAAAGCAATGGTAAGACTAATAGACACATAGTTTAATGGGCGACACCTAGGCCCTTCATGGTGTATGAAGGCTGGAGTTCAACCATTCTAGTCAAATGACTGATAGCCCTGTACAACTTTATTTCACAAAGTGCTTATAGTTCTGATTATCCCCTAAAATATTAACCCTAACTAACGTTGGCTTCTGTCCATCTAACTGGTGCAAAAAAACAGACCACTTAGTGGAGTGGTGAGTCTTAGTTTGGGAATCGATGGGCTCATGTGGTCTCGTTAGGGGGATTTTCATGGACATGATCGCTGCAGCTCCGCCAGAGCCGGGCTCGGGTCAATCTGGGATGACATAGTCATTGGCAGGCCAAGCAATACATTGGACTCCCTGGACCACCAAATATCCTTAGATTGTTCTCCACTTAGTTTTCAGATACAGGAGGAACCAAAGTCTTCATGTGTATCTCATTGGTAAGGATTTTATTACAAGGGCTTCAAACAACACTGTGACCGGTACATTTTTTTAGGGTTGATAAATAGAGGTTCGCAAAATCAGCTTATTATCCCTTAGCAGTACCCAAGAGGAATAAATTTGTTTCATCCTGAACATAAGTAGACTACTCAATCTCTGTGTCTGACCAAGCATTGTGGTTTGACTTGTTCAGAAAAGCTAACAAATTGAGGAGATTTTTAAAGTTACCAAGAAGAGTCCGTTTAAAGTATTTCAACAAACCTTTCCTGTTTTCGTGGAAGGCTGTACCCAGATATAAGTCATTCGTTAGCTGACACCCACAACTTTTATCTAGTGAGGGAGTCTAAAAATATGATAGGTATTCTTTCTGCTACACATTTGCGTGCAATTTTTTCCTTGCTAAATATGAATGGGAAGAACTGATAGAAACAAAAATGGCCAAAAAGTAGTGTTCTTTTCCTCTATGACAAATTTTACTGATTGCTTAATTGCATTGAAATGACTCAAACGTTGATGTGATCATTTTGGTAATATCTTTTATATCACTGTCATGTATAAAATAATGAAACGGATAACGAAAGGATGTGTATCATTTCGCTGTCCTGTTATTTTTCGACAGTATTTTGATCATACAGACGTAAAAGTTACTGTTTTTAAGTGCTTTGAGTTTAAGTTTTAGAACATTTGCGAAATACACTTCTAAGTTAAAAATATTGACTTACAGAACTTCACAAAAATTAACGGATTTGTATTTCTTAATGCCTAAAATGATAAGTTTTTGTGTTGCTAGTAATAATCATGTATTCGTCTTTTTTAACTTTGATTTCTTCCATAGATAGTTGCTGATATAGGAGAACTATCTGAGCCAGTACCTGAAGGATATATTTTTCTAAAGTGCTACTGGATTTGCATTATTATTATTCCTTTTGGTTCCAAGTGGAACACAGGGCGTCAGCAACACATCTTCACTTCGTTCTATCCTCTGCTGTTCTGTTCATCCGGGTCCACGATTGCCAGTAATCATCCATCCCATCTTCCAGCTCACACGATCTCCTCCGTGTCAATCTCGCACTTGCTACCTACTTGTCGCTTCTCATTCAGATTCCACTGAAGCCATGGCCTGTAGCGCGATGTCATTTGATGGCCTCCTCAACGTAGGCCCGATCCGCCCCAATTTTCTCCTATATATTTGTTAAGCAGTATCCTCTTGGTTGGTTTGTTCATTCTAATTCTTTCTGGTCAGTCATTTTGTCTTCAATACGGAACTGGGAGAGCTATTCGTAAAAGTCTGTGACCTGTTGAAAATCCTTTCTGTAACGTACAGCGTAAGTTTCTGACCGATATAGAAGAACTGACTTCACATTTGTGCTGAAAATCCGAATCTTGTTTTCTATGCCGATCAAAGGTTTCGAAAGTGGTTTCAAGTTGATCAAGGCATATCTTGCCAAATATCTCTCTTTGGTGGTGATTGGTGCTGGCTATTGTTACTATTTATGTGCTACACAAACAAACTTTATAGCAGACTGTTCCGACTGACTTTGATGTCAGAAAGAAAAACCAAACTGTAAATCCATTATACATCAAATTTTGTGTAATTTATATAATAACTTATCCATGCCTGTACAATTGGTATGTTCCTGCATAAACAGGAAGAAATATATATTATTATTATTATTCGTTAGCTGGTTTTCTTCATCACCTCCGTCTTCTCTATGTTCACTTAAAGTCCTGTCTTCGCTACTTTCCCAGCCAATTTTTCGGTTTTCGCCTGTAAGCGTTCGAGTTTGTAACATTTGTATTTGTATTTTATGTTCAACCATTCATAAATGTATTGCATATTGTTCGCTCGTATATTCTACTTGATGAGACAGAGTGTTAGCCCTGGCTAAAATTTATAGTGACAGAGTTTACTAAACCAAGGCTATTTCTTATAGTGAGTCGCGTATTTATTAGAGACATTCGCTTCCAACATACATTCCACTTATGCTGTAGTGATAAATCTGTTAGCAGCAATTGTTGTCCGCAGCAAGATTTAGAAACGATAATATATATAACCAGGAAAAGTAGTGCAAAAACCAGCTGTCTTTTGGAGTTGAAACAGGTGTTTAGGTAAAGCAGGATTATCATTTCGAAAATTGCAGCCTTCAAAAGGTGTTAAAGTTATTAACATCATTTACATTTCTCCGCTGGTCCGATAAGGCCTACTGTGAATTCACAATCGCACCTACTGTTTTTAAATGCATGTGTTAGAAGGTGTATGTCACAGGTATATTGAGTACGCATACATACAAATTATCTCTGACATATGCTAATATACCATGAGAAAGAAACCCTGTCTCTACACTTATACGCATGATGCAGCACAAATACTTTAATTATTTCAGCTTAAGGCCGAATGCCTACACTTCCTATCCATGGAACACTGTGGGTCACAATCTATTTGTGTAACCAATTTGGCAATTATTTTCGCAAATAAGGAGCCCACAAGGATGATTAGTAGTCACAGGAACATTTATTTATCCACATTACGTGGTTATAAACAGAAAAGGAAAGGCATCAAGGGTGTCAGTCAAGTCTCAAAAACTGTCAATGTCCAGCACTTACTATGCTGGGCCTCACACTGTTCCTGGAAGACTTTCAGAAACAATTTGCAATAACCAACGCGAAAACCAGAACACTGATTAGCAACTCAAGAATCCTTTAATCTTATGCCAACATGTAACCAACAATAAGGTTATTAAACAGGGTCTAAGAATAAATGTTATAGCAATAAATCATGATAATGCTTCTGATAGTTTTTTATCTTCCCTGAACAGCGAACGATGAGATGATGACTGCCGTATTGATGACTCCCACGAAAAATATGGAGGAGTTGTGTTAGAGCAAACAACCATGAAATGATCGTTCAATCTTCAACATCGACACTCCCCGGGGTAAAAGGGATTCATCCCGTTTTTCCATCACGACCAATACGCGTTGACTCGGATGCCATTGCAAGAACCTGGGGCACACGGACAAGGCTGGAATGGAAAACAAACAGAAAAGCCAACACACCACAGGCATACCCACAGCACAGTCGCACTCGTCGG